ATCCGTGCTTCTCCAAGTCACTGGGGATGACAGGTGCAGGCCACTGCATCCAGCCACGTGATTACCCAATAGTGAGGATTACAGGCATGTGCAACCACTCTCAACACTACCTGAGATGGAGTCTTGCAAACATTTTTTTTTTCAGCACTGAGGACTGAACTCATCACTCTTCCACTGAGTGAAATTCCCAACCCTAGTTGAGAGACTATTTTGCAAGAGCAAACTTTTATGTGAAGACTGGTCTCGAACCATGATCGCTGCCCTTCATCTCTACCTCTCAAGCAGTTAGGATTACAAGCCACCACATCTAGCTTTTCCCTTACTTTTGAGACCCTGTTTAACCACAGTGGTCAGGTTTGAAAATGAAAATTCCTAAGTCTAATTATACTAGATGAAATCATTTACTGCAAAAAATTCAAAGTTCTCCCATAGCGTTCCAACAGATGATTTCAGGAAGTGTTTGGGAGCATCTGCTGTCTTACTCTGCTGATGTAAATATCAGTCACTGAGGACCTGCTGACTGCTCTGAAGTTGGTAAGCCTGTATCGTATAACCCTTATAGTACTCTGAAACCTGGGTTTGAAGGCCCACAGAGGTCAAGTAACTTCCCTGAGGTCACAAGCCTTGCAAAGAAACAGAGTTTGAATTCAAGTCTGGCACTGTGCTCTTAGCCCGCTCACACTCTTCCCCAGTACACTCTGGGTACTAAACTATGGGAGGGCAGAGGTGGATTAAAGGATGCTCCTTCCTAGACTGGGAAAGAGATAATTCTCAGCCCATGATGAGATATGTTGTAACTCCATTAAATCAGCACCTGCGTATCAGCAAGGGTACTTGGGGATGAAAACAAATATGTAAATACGCCACCTACCTTTACCAGGTGTGGGAGTTTCATGGGGGTCAGATGGGGGACACCAGGAAGTTAAGCTCCCAGGAGATGCCATATGAGCCTCAATTCTGCTTAGGAAACTGGGGTTCCTGACCCTGTCGTGAAAGCTGGAAGAGCTCTGCTCAGAAAGTTCCCCTCTCCCAAGTCTCCCTAACTCAGGGCACTTGTAAGGTCTGCAGTCCTCTGGCCAGGGCTGAGAGCAAGTAGACAGTTCTATGGACCCAATCCACGTAAGGCCAACATCACTTACACTCACACACATGCACACATACACACACACCACCACCACCACCACAATCTCATTCAGTAGATACTGACAAGAGCCTGTCATGTTCTGAGTGCTAACCTAGGCCCTGGGCAAAGTGACAAAAGTCCCTAACTTCATGAAAGTAAGTATTTTCTTCACATCAGTAAGGTGAGGGCCCCTGGCAAGAGCTGGTCCAGAAGGGTTAACTCAAAAAATCCTGACTGAGGCTGGGAATGTGGCTTAGTGGTAGAGTGCTTGCATGAAGCCCTAGGTTTGATTCCTCAGTACCACATACACAGAAAAACCTGGAAGTGGTGCTGTGGTTCAAGTGGTAGAGCAAAAGAAGCTCAGGGACAGTGCTTAGTCCCTGAGTTCAAGCCCCAGGCCTTGAAAAAAAAATCCTGACTGGTAAGACATTGTAGAGAGAATGGCAAGGTGGAGTGAGGCCCTGAATTCTAGACAGAAGTAAGGCCCACAAGTGTGGAGGGGAATTGAGTTTCCACATGAGGAAACAACAGTTTCCCACAAACTTTATTTACCATATCTGAACCCATGACTCAGAGCCAGGAGGAAGCCCTGGGCATTACTGAGCAACCAGCTGAAAAGTAAGCTGGCCTCTGAGCACTGGTGGTTCACACTAAAATTCTAGCTACTCAGGAGGCTGAGATCTGAGGACTGCAGTTCATTCAGACTCAAGCAGACAAATCCTCTTCAATTTAACAGCAAAAATGCTGGTTAAAATGGTAGAGCACCAGTCTTGAGCAAAACACACAGAATAAAACAAAAAAAGTCAAGCAAGAATATAAGGTCCCAAGTTCAAGGACCAGTACCAGCACCAAAAAAAGAAAGCTGGCTGCCAGGCAGTTATGCAGCAGTCTTAAAACCCAGTGTGTGCTATGTCAGCATCTGAGCCTTATGCTGACAAATTTTGTTACCAGACTCATATACCCTCAGCTCAACTCTAGGCAGTTCTGCTGTACTGCCCCTAGTAAGAGATGACTCTCTCTCTCATTTGTCTCTGTCTCTCTCTCTGTATGTATATGTGTAAAACAGTGAGGGGGGGAGAAAAAGGTGACAGGGTGAAGGTTTAATGTTATAAAGTACAATATATATCTATATGAAAAATTGTTAAGAAAGAGGGGCAGGAGGAAGAGAGGTTAAGAAAAAAGAAATAAAGATGGAAGGAACTTGATCAAAGTACCTTAAATAGACGTTGTAAATACCACAATGAAACCCCTTTGTACAATTAATTTATGCTAACATGTTTTTAAAAATACATTAAAATGATGAAGGCAGGCAGGCACTTCCAAACCGAAGTGATAAAATGGTCATGATAGATGGCAACAAGGTAAATTGGATCACGCTTATGTGCTAGTTTGCTTAGCTTCAAAAATCTGGTCTGGCAGGAGATTCACAGAACCAGAGAACACTTAACAGGAAAAAGGGCAGGTGCTCAAAATGCCATAGACATGAAGTAGATAAAGTCCATAAAAGGAATATGGATCAAGAGCTCCCCAGATCCATTGATTCGCAATCCTAACAAATCCTTTGTTTTACAGGAATGAAACAAATCCCCAGAGAGGAGACTTGTCCAAGGTGACAGTTACTGAAAAAGCCAGGAATAGATCTTCCTTTGGATCCATTCTGGATCCAAACCAGTATGAAGACCCACATTGGAGAAGGGATAGGTGAGAAGTTTGAGATTTGAAGCCCAGAGTCAGGTTCCAGGAGCACTGATTCTGGCTGGAAAGGCCAGGAAGTCAAATTTGACTGGACTGGTAGGACCATACAGTGTGTGTCTGGAGAGGTATGATATAAATATGCAGGAAGGACAGTGCCCAGCTGAGACACGTGTTCTTTGTTGAGACTTTAGTGTAGTACAAACTGCTTGTTGGCCTTCCAGATTGATGGTTGTTCCCTTGGTCTGAGAAGTATCAGGTAGGAAGGCTGAGACTTCCTTTCCCAAGTCTCCCTGGCCACTGCCCTTTCTGGAAATTGCCCCTCCCCCCCCTTTCCCCACAGGCTTTTCGCATCAGAAACAACTCAGGGAGAGTCTGGTAGGTTGGGAGGATCCAAAGGGCTGTGAAGGATGCACAGAGCTGTCTGAAACCACATTAGAAGATTGTCCCAGACTTGGCAAGACTTGGGTATCCAAAGCCTAAAGCAAACGCCTCGGGGTTGATCCCTGGAAGCTGAGACCAGGCTAGGAAGGCTTCATAGTCATTTCTGTGTCTTTTACCTTTGGATTTGCAGCTGCAAATCCAGGTGCCAGCATCCAACTTAATAGGGTTTTTCATTCAGGAGCAAACTAATCTCTTCCCAGCTCTTGGCTCCAAGTGCCCAGTGGCAGAGTCCAGGATCCCACAGGTGCAGCTGGTGCCCTTCCATCTTATTTTCCCAGCTTCAGTGTCCTCTCTTCAAGACCATCCTAACAATGCTCTGGAGACCTTCTCCCTCGCCCTACTACAGTCAGGAGTGCTACCTGCTAATGTGATCTTGAATTACCCTGAAACCAATTCTTCTGGCCTCCCTCCCAGCTCAGGGGCTCCACAGGTACAGCGAATAGGTGGATATTCTGCAGGAGTCTTCATTTGTTTGGTAAGATGAGGCCACTCACACCTGGTTTGGTCTTCAACCATCACAAAATCCTCACAAACTCCTAAGTCCTCCAACCTCATCTCCCCCAGATTTCACCCCAGTTTTGATTTATGCAGCACCCCACCCCCCAGACCTGCATCAGAGCCATCACAGTAACAATAAAAAACAACTGCAATGCCCACATCATTATTCCACTGGCAAAGATTTTTCGCATAAATCTGGGCCTTCAGAGATGAGGAAATAGAGTGGTAGAGGTCTCCAGGAAGTGAGAAAATGGGGTGCTGGCCCAGGGAACTGGCCCAGACCTGGTAGGTGTAGCGCCAGGAGGAAGCTCCCGGACCCCCTGAGGGTGAAGCCAGGCTCTGCCAGAGGCCAACTGAAAGGGACCAGACAATGCTCAAAGGCAAACACCTCTACTCACCGGGCCTGACCACCAGCCTGGAGCAGCTGTGGTCTGAGGCCAGTTTCACCCGCGGAGCGAAAGCACCCCTCTGTCCCGGCGGGAAACGGCCCTGTCGGTTCTCTTCGGGACCTGCCATTGGGCCCATCTGGGCCTGACACCTTAAGGATTCGGGTTCAGAAGCCGACCTCGCTAGGGATCCCGGAGCTGCAGTGCCCGGGCCGACCGCGCTCAGCGCCCGCGCGTCCCGCGCGTCCCGGGGAGCCGCTTCCTGGTGGGATTAGAGCACCTGCTGGCTTCCATCTCCGCCCCTCCCGGCAACCCCCAAGCGGGACCGCGCGGAGAGGACCGCGGGGAAGTTAGCGGCAACTCGAGCCCGGCGCGTTCTCCCTAGGCAACTCTTTTCCTCCTGCTTGCTGTGATGCTCTTCGGTCCTTCTTAAAAATCTCTTTCCAAGCGTGAACTACGGAGCTTGGGAAACTTTGTGCGAAACTTCCGAATGCCGTGACATCGGAGCCAGCCACTCCAATCGGAGTCTGAGAGCGCTGCGCCCAGCCCCGAGTCTCCCCTCCAGCCCTCCGCGTTCGGCGGACAGGGGCCCCGGAGCCCGCCGCCTCCCGGAGCGCCCCCCCCCGCCCCTCATTGGCCTAGGGGCCGGTCCTGGACGCTGCCCGGGGCGCGCCCGCGAGCCTGGGACCCGCGGGTATTTAGGCAGTTTCCGCGGGGGCATTGTTTTCCCGGGGACCTGAGGACATCGCGGGAGAGGGGAGACCCGCCCCAGAGACGGTGGCGCAGGCTCGCCCACCACTCATTTGCATTTCAAAGGCAAACTTCGGCTGGACTTGCCCCGAGGCGGCGGCACCTACCGGCTTTGCACGGATCGTGGTAGTGCTCCAGCTGCGGCTCTGCGCCCGCCTCGCCTTCCGGAGCCCAGTAGTCCAGGGCGGCCTCCGAGCGCCCCCCGAGCCCCCCGGCGCTGCGGGGCAGCGGCAGCAGCAGCAGCAGGGGCGGCAGCAGCAGTGGCACCAGAGCCCGGAGCGCAGTTGCCGAGGGCATGGTGGCGCGGGGCTGGTGGGGGCCGCGGGACTCGCGAGCGCGAAAGCTCGGCTTGGGGGAGATGGTGCACTGGGTCCGGCGTCGGCGGCTATGAGCGGATGCGGGGCATGGCGTCCTCGCCGAGAGCCGAGCGCGGCGCCCACTGTCCGCGATGGGGCACCCGGGAAGCAGCCCGCTCGGAGCGACTAGCCCGGCCGAGGCTGCGGAGGTTGCGATTGTGGCGGTGGTGGTGAAGCAGTGGCCGCTCCGCCCCCTCTCCACCAGAGCTGGACCACACAGCCCCCGCCAAGGCCTCCGGACAGCCAATCACTCGGACGCCCGAGGCGAGGCCCCTCCTCTTCCCGGCACCTCCGCAACTTCGGAGGAAGGGGAGCGAAGTGAGGATGCTGAAGGCCGCGGCCGAGAGCCGGTAGCGCTCGCACACGCCGAAGGCGTCCTTTTGGGGCGTTAGCCCGGGCCCGGGCTCCCCGGAACGATGCTCCTTACTATCTCCGCCGGCCGGGCTTCCCGCCTCGCTGTTTCAGTAACTCACTTTACAACTCCCGGCGCACACGTGGACGCCGGCAGGCGCTCCGAGTCGCTAACAACTCGTGCTGTGCTTTAGGGCACTGGCGGCTGGACAGGAGGAAAGACCGGAGGACGTCGGCTTCCCCAGCCCTTTCAAACCACCTCTCATCCAGCTACGAGAGGCATCTGCGGTGGCGCCCACCCAACTCAATGCAGTGGCTGGTGGTATGTAAAAAACGTTTAAGGGGCAGATTTCCCCTCTAGGTGACTCCCCCCCCCCCCCCCAGTAAACAACGCGCGCGCGTGCGCGCACGCACATGCACAGCCTACGTGATGCTTCCTATGGTCTAAAACTTAGAGCCACACCATGCTTCCTAAAATTAGATGTTTCATTAAAGTCCCTCAATATTAGCCTGTCAGAATAAAAGGACCAATTGCTAGCATCGGGTTTCTTTTAGCAAATGATAAATATATGCCCAAATGATTTGGAGTAACAATCAAAAGCTACTTGAAATCCACTTCTATGATGTGCGTTAAGCGTAAAAATGGTCCGAATTGAACCATTTTAACTTAGACATGTATTATTACAGTAAGGCTTTCAAAGATTTTGTGTGAGAAAGCAAAGCTGCCCTAATTATAAAGTAAATACCAATGGCATGTGCAGAATTTTTTTATCATCACACCCAGTAGACTTCTTTAACTTTCCTTTTAGGGAAGTTTAAAAGTTCTAAAATAAACCCTTGTAGGTTTCTTTCCACATGGTTTTTATAGCCATTAATAACAAATAACGAACAGGGGGCACACAGCTGGTCTTTGTGCCAACCATCTATTTCATAACATTATGGTTATGTTATTCTATTAACTAGGATAACAATTCCTTCAAACCAGGAAAGGGTACTACTAAATATTTCATCCTGGTTCTTACAAAGAAATGAAGTTTGACCCTGCCTCCTGTACCCAAGTTATCTATCACCTAATGGGCACATATAGGATAAAGTCAAGATTGGTCAAGACCGGGTTAGGAACTGGCAGGGCAGGAAGAGGGGACTAGGGTAAATGGATCCCACCAAATGGCAGGGAAGGCCAAGTGGCCATTAAATAGGCAATAGGTGTGGAAGGAGATTAAATGGCATTTCTGCCTGAATGCTAGGAGTCAAACCCAACGCCATAGTACGCTGTACTCACCCCTATGAAGGTCACCACTTGTCAGTAGACAAGTCCACAAAGTCAACATCTAAAAGGCCTAACAAACGTCTGTGACACTTTTAGGTGTCCAGATGGCAGTTGGCAAAAGCCAACTGGCTTCACAAGCAAGGAATTCCTCTGGAAAACAGACATCAGAAGCCACCTTGTGCATGCACGGAGGCTGTGAGGTTTACTGCCTTCTAGTCCCCACCTGGTGGGTAGGTCTTTTCATCATTACCCTCTGTCCAAAATTTGAAGACTGGGGCCTCGGGGTGAGCAAGCTGTACAACTTCGTCAAAGGGCTTGTTTTGATGCTGCTTTGGCAATCAACCAACAGGCAATCAGCAACAAAACACTGGGATTGTTAGAAAGGCTATCTAGGAAGACTGAGATGTTTTAGTATTTTTCTCATCAGTTACAGTTCCTAATTTAACTCATCACTTTAAAATATTTTTAAAAAAATGTTTTAAAACGAAAAAGCTTACATTTAGAAGCACAGGCTAAAGACCTAAAGCTATTCAACAATTACACATTCCTAATTTTGGTGGGTTTCTTCCCAAGAACTTTAGTCCTCTGGAAATCCTGAAAGTAAATTCTCAATCTTAAGTCAGTGCTTAAATTGGGTGCTTCTCTACTCAGTGAACAAGTTCTTCTGCAGCAGCCCTTAGACCCCCTTCAGGTCTTTTTATTCTCCTTTACCCAACCCTGGAAACTCCCATTCCACCAACTACCATCAAAATCTTCTCCAGGACAGGGAACACAATCTTCAGAAGGGAAGGCATTCTCTTCCAGCTCACTCTTTTCTCCCATTGTTAACCACAGAGATGCTGTTACAATTTTCAGCAGCTGCCTTACACCTTCCCCGAATCTCCAACACCCTTATCTTAGCTTCTCAGGTGGAGTACCAGGGCCCCACTACCATTGTCTTCCTTTTGCCTATCATTGGCGTATAATTTCTTTATGCCACTCACATTAAGCATTGGCAGCTATCCTTAGCTCTGCTGCCTCACACCTCCATGCTCTGCCTGGAACACTAACAGCTACAGACCTGCATCCTCACACAGCATCTAATGGAGCAAATGCTACAACTGACACCAATTCAGGTCTGCCCTGCCTGAGCTACTTCAGCAGCCCACTCTTAACAAACCCCAACTTAGAATCACCTGTCTCTCTAGACAGACTCTACCTTTCCCCCGTCAGGACCTTCAGAATTAGTCCTGTAATCTTGGTCACTTAAGACTGAGCTGTCTGGCACTAGTTGCTCATGCTTGAAATCCTAGCTACTCAGGAGACTAAGATAAGAGTATCACAGTTGGAAAACAGACCAGGTAGGAAACTCCAAGAAATGTTTACCTTCAATTAACCAACAAAAAGCTGGAGCTAGAGCTGTGGCACAAGTGGTAGAGTACTAGCCTTGAGCATAAAAGCTCAGGGACAGCACCCAGGCCTTGAGTTCAAGCCCCTGGATTGGCACAAAAAGTAAGACTTAGCTAAGACAAACTGATGCTGGCCAGACTTACATCATCGCCTCCCTACAACTGTCTAAATTGTTTTTCATTTGAAGGTTATCACATTAAATTTTGAAAATTAAAACAAGGTTCACTCTAAATACACTTGTACACTTAATAACATTGATTTCATATGTCCAAATGTAGCCTATTTTATCTTTTCTAATGTCAAATTGTAGATTAAGTTTAGTAGTTCCCACTTCAAAATTAAGAAGCTGGCTGAGTAACAGACTTCCCTCTATGCTTCCTTTTCTAATTGGACAAAAAGTGTTCATAGAAGATATCAGAAGTAGCTGGACACTGGTGGCTCACGCCTGTAATCCTAGCTACACAGGAGGCTGAGATCTGAGGATCACAGTTCAAAGCCAGCCCGGGCAGGAAAGTCCATGAGACTCTATCGCACTGTGGCTCAAGTGGTAGAGTGCTCACCTTGAGCTGAAGAGCCGAGGGACAGCACCCAAGCTGTTCAAGCCCCACAATCAAAAAAGAAAAGAAAAAAGATGTCAGAATTAGTCCAAATTCACACTAACTTAAAAACCATCAGACAAATACAAATTGCCAAGTATAGACACCAAGTAAGGTAGCTTAAAAAAAAAAAATCAAGAGAAAAGGAAGCAGGGAAGGATCTTTAAAATGAGTATAGACACTAAGTAGCTTAAAAAATCAGGAGAAAAGGAAGCAGGGAAGGATCTTAAAAATGAGCTAAGAATGAATATGAAAACCAGAAAGTGAAACTAACTACTGCTTCAAATGGAGTACACCAAGAACAGTCCATCCATCAGTATATTGATCATTACACTGACTCAGTATACTAATCATTACTTGCTCTCTGGGCTACAGAGATGATACCTCCAACTTCCAGTTACACCCAACAAGAGAACAGACCCCAATCTTGATTATTTCTGGGATAAAAACAAAGCCTTTCTTACTTATGCTATTAGTTAACAAAGGACGCTGTGAGGGCACATGTGTAAAACTACTATGGAAAAAAGTAGTACATACTAGACTAATGTAATGTATTCTTTAAGAGTAACAGGAACAGGGGTGGTGGGGTCTGTGTGCAGGATTTGAAGATTATATATGATGAAGAGTCAAAAGAATGGTAATTTGAAACATTTAAAAGACAAACTTTATTCATTGTACCATTCTAGCAACTGGTCTGTACCTTAAATTTTTTTTTCTTCATAAACTTGGGGGAAGAGAGTTAAACCTTAAATTTTAAGTCCTTCTAAACCCTCTGTACATTACCTTTACAAAATTAAATTTTAAAAAAACTAAGTTTTTCATTTGCAGTTGTTTCTATAGTTATAGCTTCCCTATTATACTATGGCTGCTTTATATTTGCTCCCATTGTCCAATGCCTCAATTACTATGTGGTCTTTGGCAATGCTCCCCCGACATATACCTTATTTACTGTAGAACACTGAGTGCTATTAGTATGTTATCCCTTATATTTGCTTCTCTTGTCTTAAAAAAGTAAAGAAAGAAAGCATTCAAGGGAAATGTTTAACTTTTTATTACTTTTTAAAAATCCAGCTTCAGATAAATTAACAGACTAGATTAGAACCTCAATTATATTTGATACATTACTAAATTTCTAAATAACTAAAAAGCCAGGTGGAATATGGCCTACACAAACCAAGGATGTGTATAAAACGGAAGTGACCACTGGGCAATCACTGTTTCCCTCCAACTCTGTTGACTGTCCATGCTCTGTGGGGATTAATAGGTTCAAGTTTAACAAGCTGGAAAGCTCAAGTTGGAGTGCTTTCCCAAAGACACTTTGTTGTCCTTCAAACAGAACTGTTTTTTCTTCCTTGCCTTAAGCTATTACAGCACTCTAACTGTAAACACACCATGCTTTCTGGTCAATTACTATACACCTAGTTCACCAATACTTATAAGCAGCTCTTGCAACAATTTGTCTCCACTTCATAACAATGAAAGAAACCTGATTTTGTCTTTGCATATTAGTATCTATAGTGCCAGTAAGAATGTCCAATGAGCTATCTTTTATAAAATGCTCAGAAGAAAAGTAGTTATTCCTCATACTGAAATAGAACTTTTTGAAATTTCTGCACTAACATAATAATTCTTATTTTCTACCTTTCAACCTACACTATTTCTATACTCAGTCATGAACATTTTCCTAAAACTCTTCTCAGATTTCAACACTGTAATTACTTAGAGCTTCATAACTAGAATTTTGAAAGATACTTGTGTTTTTACACAAAACTAGTCCTATTTATAAATGTTCCAATAAATCAACAGAATGAAGCAGTAACACACACTGAGATCTAAACTTAAAACCTAGACTAACTACAGGTTTTACATAGGCTTTGCCCCCTAGAATTCATATACAGAAGCCCTTCGGTATGTAGCTTTTCCTGAACAAATTACATTAATACATCATCTCTTTTTACATTTGTAAAAATTCAGGAAGTTGAAAAATAACATTTATTTGCAAGACATTTGGCATAGGTGGTTAGTAAACATTTAGAGAAACAAAAGCTGTATCAAAATGAATACAATTTGTGGATAAACCCTCAATAAAGTGGCTTTTGGAAGAACTAGTTTGCAGCAACCACCTTTATAGAGAGTCTGCCCACTGTCAGTGGAAAACACCCAAGCAAATAGTTCACTAGGTTCAGATATCACCACAAGATGATAAGTTCTAAGAGTATTGGGCTTGATTTGTGGGCAAACCCAGTATCATCTAGGAGCCCAACACTATATACTAAAGTATACTTTTCTTTCCTCTAGCCATTACATTTCTACTTTATCCTACTCTCGGTACCAGAAGAGATGTATAATGTCAACTTCTACTCTGTTGAATTTTAGGAGATGAATTAGGAACAGAGAAAGTTTCCCCTAAAGATTTTTCTTTGGGTGCTAGGCCTGGGGTTTGAACACAGGGCTGAGCACTCTCCCTGAGCTTTTGTGCTCAAGGCTAGCACTCTACCATGTGAGGCACATCTCCACTTCTGGCTTTTTGCTGGTTAATTGAAGAAAAGAGTCTCACAAACTTTCTGTCTGTGCTAAATTTGAAGTACAATCCTCAGCTCTCAGCCTCCTGAGAAAGCGAGGATACAAGCACGAGCCACCAGTGTCTGGTTTACTCTTTGTTTTTGATAGTGTTCAAAATGTCAGCTGATAATTGAGCAAATGTTAGCAAATGAAAGACATACACAGAATTAAAAACTCTCAACTTCGGTAAGATTCTGTTTTACTATTCTACTGAGAAGCTAAGTCATTTATGAATTCTATCTTCTTCAAGACACATTTGTGTAGTCTCTCCATGAAGCTACAAACCAACATAAAACCATTTCTTTTGGGGGAGAGGATTTGGGGAGGAAGGTATTAAAGCCTGAACTCAGGGCTTGCACCTGCCTCAGATTTTTTATTTTATTTTTTTTTGCGTTAGTTAGGGTCTTGTTTCTGCAATCTTCCAACCTATGTGTCTTAAGTAGCTGGGACTACAAGTGACCACCATATATGGCTTGTTCTTAAGAGTTAGAATCTTGCTAATATTCTTTTGCTCAGGCTGGCTTCAAACCATGATCTTCCTATCTCCACTTCCCACAAAGCCAGAATTACAGGTGTGGGAACCATGACTTTTGTAAAGAACTTTTCAAGGTGATATATAATGCCCTTAATGTATTTGAGTATTAAAAATCTATTTTTCACCACAGATTCCAAAGACTGTCAAGTGGAGCTCAACTTACTAGAAAGGATTGGTTCACCTGAAAATAACTAAGATATTTTTTAAAAACTCTTCATCTTACCTGCAGGATTCATGGCATGAAAAACTACTATTTTAATAAGACAACAAAAACAAAAACAAAAAACAAAAAATACCCAAAACCCTGCAGTTCCAATTTATACCCCATTAAATAATGTGTTTTCCTGTTAAAAATATTTTGTATTAAAAAGTTACAGAACATAAGTAATTAAGATAGTGAGTTTTAAAGATAATAAGTTTCCAAGATAATAAATGCAGGTAAGAAAATGGAAGAACCAACAGATTATGTTTAATGCAACATTCTGGCTTGAAGTATATACCTATAGTTTCTGATCAAATTTCTATTTGCTCATACTAGCCATTACCTAAGTGGTCAGACATCAAATTTTTCACCCTTCATAAGGCTTAAATGCCACAGTACACAATGTGGAGTCCATTAGTAACTACTAATGGCATGAAGTTCACACTAAGGTGTTCAGTAGTGGTGATGTTTTTCTAAAAACACCAATGTATAGTACTGGTTTAAGTGATCATTTGCATAGCAAATTATTAAACCAGAAACACAATGGTTTTAGAGAAACTTCACACTATGGACAATTCCAGAAAAATGCACAAGTGCAATTTCTTTCTTTTAGAGAAGAACAGCCTCTCTATTTGTTCACCAAATAAAGGAGCTACCATTGTGCCTGCACCACTCACAGCACATCAGCCTGGTGCCATAATTTTATTCAACAGTTTCTCACTCTGTCACTGAACTGGGTAATTTGGATGTAGGCAAGCTGGGGACATTAGTATATGGGCCCTTTGTATTCAAAAGCACATTTTATGGTATGTTAAAAAAAAATAAGTGGGATTCTGTAACACTGCTTTTTGGACAGTTATCTTCAAATTGGAAACACATCTATTTTCACAAAACAATTTGGTCAGGAAATTTTATTTGAACATTCTAAAGCAATGATGCTTTAGATGTTACTTAAATGTCCCAGACAGGATTAACAAAATTAAATGTTTCTAAATTACAAATTTAGCTCCTGTATGAGTCTCAGAAAAGAAACAGAATAAAACACCCCCCACCCAAAAGAAGTATGACACACACATTTTGAAGGAACCCCAATGTTTCATGCAATGGTAGGCAAGATGTAAAAAGCCACCCAAATTCACACATTTCTACACCAATCATCATCAGAAAAAGTACTCCCTATTCAGTCTGTACATCCAAATGCAGTTGGAAATCTACACCTACGTTACATTATTTAATGTTATATACATTTATTACCCACCCCCCCTTGTTTTTAATAATTTCTCATGTAAAGCCTTCATTCAAACCCAAAAAAAGATGTGAGACTAACTGGGGGGTGAGGGGATAATCACTTTAGATACTCAGTTAAAATGTAGATTATCTAAATCTCAAATGTTTATAAAAACAAGTACCTTCTCCATTTAATACTTTGCTTTCTAACTGTACAGTAAATTGCATATAGAGAATACACATCTATCTTCGGACTGTATCTTTGGATGGAATTAAGATGTAATTGGATAATTTTAAGATAAATAAATGGAAAGTTGGTCTGACTAAGATGACAGCAGATATATTACATGCAGAATTTAACTTGGCTAAGTTTCTTTCTTTTTTTTTTTTTTCCTTTTTTAAAAAAGGATGCAGTTGCGTTGGGGTGCGGGGTACAGGTCATGGACAACTAATAACAGATCAAAAAAGAACCCAGATTCAATATATAAAAATGTCCCACAATAGGTCAACAATGGCAGTAAAAATAAAAGAAAAGGTAATCTTTCTGGAACATCATTTTTCAAGAACATAGAAATACTAAGTGCCAGGAAGATTTCTATTCATGTACTTTTAGCATCCAAGTTTCCCTCTTATTTATTTATATTGGAACAAATGCTTTAAATAAACTATTTGTCCTCTTCACTGAAGAGAGCTGGTCTATTTCATCTTTAATGAGCTAGTTTTTGGGAAGATTAGCCATGTACTGTAGTAATGCCTACTGCATAAAATCCACACATTTGCTGTGAACAGTTGGAGAAAGCAGTCAGTAAGAACCTAGGATCAATGGAAATAGATGTTACTTTAAGCCATCCATGAAAGAGAGACCCACAGTGTACCCAGTGTTAAGCCCAAATTTCTTCTTGCGCTTTCCTTTTTTGCTGTGCAAGTTCCACCACTATGAAAGAGAAATTGATCCAAAGTTCCAGGTTTTTTTGTATCTCTAGTCAATTTTCACATTAGTATAGATTTTTCGGACAAAGGCACTTGTTCCCATGTAACCAATTGCTCCTGCAAAGACAAAATAAAATGTATTAAAACAAATGTAACCCCTTTGTACATCACCTTAAAATTTAAATTAAAAATAAATAAAGCAATAAATACATATGGAGCAGTATGCAAGATTTACTAAAGCTCTCTGCTCTGGAAAGTTTTTTTTTTTTTGCAGTATAGTATTATACTAGCATTCTCTGTTAATTAAAATTCTATTATTTGCTTTCATCTGTTACAGTCACATACCAAATCTGACCTAATGTATTTTTAAAGAATTAAATCACAATTAGTATAATTAGTAACTGTGGAATACTTACAATACATCTTTTATTTTAAAAAAACTTGACTAAGACAAAATACTGTTAAATGAAAAAATAAACTTACTTTATTTGAGAATGTACTATTTGAGGTCTCTTATCTACTACTAGTATGTTTCTGCAACCTCAAGGGTAGGTGAAAGCAAGCAGTGCCTCAGGGAAGAACTGAGAAGCATGGCCAATGGCCTTTGCAGCTCTCCAGAAGAGCCACTTCCTTGAGACTCCTTTTCTGTTACAGCTAGAGAAGCTGTACATTTAGTAGAAAGGAAGACATATTGGAAGGAATGAACCAAGAGAGAGGTAAACAGGTAAAAAGAAATGCTAGTCTTGAATAAATCTCAAATGGGGCTCAAAACTCCTGAAAATGAGAACAGTTTTCTATTCTGTTAACGAAGCACCTGACTCAAGAAAAGGTACTCAGTAAGTATTTGCTGCATGAATGACCCAACTGAAATATTCTTTATAATGAATATTCGGAACAAGAGAGTAGGTCCCTAAATTGTCAGAAAGTTCTCCACTTAGGAATTTGCCATTTAAGCCAATATTCTTTTTCTTCTTTTTTTTTTTAATCAGTTGTAGGGCTTGAACTCTGGGCCTGGGAGCTATCCCTCAGCTCTTCAGCTCAAGGCTAGCGCTCTACCACTTGAGCCACAGCGTCACTCCTGGTTTTCTGGTGGTTTATTAGAGATTAGTGTCTCACCAACTTTCCTGCCTAGGCTGGCTTTGAACCACGATCCTTAGATAGCCTCCTGAGTAGCGAAGATTATAGGCATGAGCACTAGTGCCCAGCTTTAGGCCAATATTCTCAAAAAGCTTAAAAGTAAATTTTCTTAGTTAATAATGGCACACACACCCAGATGTCTATAATTACTCACTTTGGAACCAACTATTCTCTACTCAACAAGTGAATTTCACCCTTGAGCTATACCTAAAGGTAAACAAATAGTGGATGAAAAGAAGGTTCTCATAAAAAGTATTCTAGCTAAGAAACAGAAATATTCTAACTATAATAAATTACTTGAGCTAACCAATAATTATCAATGACTGTTGGCCACATATATGCCCCTTGAAAAAGAAAACTATCTGCTACATATTGTTAGATAAGAGTTGGTATGAACAAGGCTGTGATTAACAGTTTAAAGAAATATGCAAGAGGAGAACATGTGGAAAAACACTAGATGACATCTCATCTCACATATACAATCAACCAAATCCAGAGTGTAAAACACTAAATAGGCTTTTTGGGGTTTTTTGTTTTGTTTTTCTTTTCTTTTTTTTTTTCGTGGAACTGGGGACTGAACTCAGAAATGACTTCATGCAAATGCTCTACCACTTGAGCTACACCCCAAGCCTTAAGATCTTTTATTTTTGGGGACAGGATCTCACTACCTTTTTGCCTGGATTGGTCTATAACTCCGAATTCTCCTGTCTCCACCACCCGAGCCGCTGGGATTACAAGCATACACCACTATACCTAGCTAAACAGAATTTTTAAAAATAATTTTTAAAAAATAGTGAAGAAAGAAGAACATGAATAGATTAGAAAACCCTTGGTTACCAAACAATACATGGCTCCTAAATGCATCTTGATGTAAACTGTACTAAAACTAGAAGTGGCAACAGGTGAAGTAAATGTGAGTACTAATTGAACATTTCATCAGCATAATGAATTTGGCTTATGTTTTAGAGACAGAGATATACTGAAATATTATAGTTTAAGTGACATAGATCTGAGAATAACGTTACAATAAAAGTGGGGCAAAATGGGAATATAAACAACAAGATTGAGTGGATAATTACTGACAGCTTATCTTTTTATATATATTTGAAATTTCCCATAATTTGACATTTTTAAAATCCCAAAGCAATAAATTAAACCTATTCCACTGACATTTCTTTCATAATACACTAAAATTTTAAATACTGATAATGCATTTAAGATAGCTATAATAATAACCTCTTTACTAGGTAGGTAGGAAAAAAAAAAAACTTCAATTAACTGGGCACTGGTGGCTCACACCTGTAATCCTGGCTACTCAGGAAGCTGAGATCTGAGAATCACGGTTCAAAGCCAGCCTGGGCAGGAAAGTCCGTGAAGCTCTGATCTCCAATAAACCACCAGAAAATCAGAAGTAGTGCTGTGGCTCAAGTGGTAGAGTGCTCTCCTTGAGCAGAAGAGCTGAGGGACAGCTCCCAAGCCCAGAGATTAAGCTCCACGACCAACAAAACAAAAAAACTTCAATTAAAAAAAAACAACTGGGTTTCTAACATAAAAATACCTATAAAATTTGAATTGCCATCAAAACCTTAACTGGCATAATATAGCACTAGTTTAATAATTGCATCCAGTTTTCAAGATTTACAAAGCATTGCTTCCTTCTGGGTAAGATGTGCTTAAAATCAAATTACTATCAACCTAGAGAATCATTTTTCTTAATTTTATAAACATATTTCATAAACAGACTTATAAGAGTAGGACTTTATAAGGAGGATACTGACTGTGCTCTCTAGAAAAGCAGAAGTCTTAGGAATAACAGAGATGTACTTTTCCTTAAAACAGAACTATGTTCATAAAAAAAAAAAAAAGAACTATGTTCATAATATAAAGGCTAAAACAATGTTATTTTCCTACTTAACACAAAGTCCATTTCTTCCTATACATTAAAAACATTAACAGGTATTTTTCATTTTGGCAAACATTTTAAACATTATTAATTGGTGGGTGTGCATAATTTTTGTATTATGACAACACATTAATCTGTTCTAGTTTGCACTTCACCCCAGCCCATCCCAACTCAGCCCAAAACAGATGACCTGTAACAGCAGGTTGGGGCTGGGAATGTGGCTTAGTGGTAGAGTGCTTGCCTAGCCTAGCATGCAAGAAGCCCTGGGTTTGAGTCCTCAGTACCACATAGAAAAGGCCAGAAGTGGTGCTGTGGCTCTAATGGTAGAGTTCTAGCCTCGAGCAAAAAAAGAAGCTCAAGGACTGTGCCCAGGCCCTGAGTTCAAGCCCCAGGACTTGCAAAAATGAATGAATAAATGAATGAGTGCTAGAGCCGGGTACCACTGGCTCATACCTGTAAGTCCCAGCTACTCAAGATGCTGAGATCTGAGGATCTTCATTCAAAGACAGCCCAGGCAGGAAAATGCATGCAACTCTCATCTCCAATTAACCACCAAAAGGCCAGAAGTGGAGCTGTGGCTCAAATGGTAGAGCACTAGTCTTGAGCAAAAAGGCTCAGGAAACTGTATCCAGGCCCTGAGTTCACGACCCATGACTGACATCAAAAAAAGTGCTAGGATGCCACTGGCAGGGCAAGGAACTGTAAATATGTCAAAATAAACTTTCAACAGAAAAGAAATTTAGCTAAACTCATTCTATTTTCTTTTTAAGTGTCAACATATTATTTCTCTAGGTCTTCCTAACATCACATAAAGAAAAAAAAATCCAGAAAAAAAAGTACATTCTGCATAGTCACCTGATTGAAGGCTAGCAATAATAAAGATCTTAGCTAGGTAAAGAATCCACTGAGCAACATTTAAGAGTGGACAAAACCATTAAAGAACTATTAGACTGTCTGAAGACACTTCTACATCATACAGCTAGTTTCAACCTTCAGTCCTTCTTCTTTTTCCCCTCAAAGTTAACTAATGTAATTAACCCAGAAAGCAGTTATAAGTGAAGCATAAGAGTAAAATATAGAGCAATCTCTCCCCTTACTTAGTGTGGCCACAAAGCCAACCTCATTTTGCTTGTGCATGCATGCAGGATCACCACTCACAAACACTGTTCCTCCTTCAATGGAGGAACAAAGTGATCCTGGGAGCGCTGTCAAACAAGAACCCAGCTTTGAATCTATCTTATCTTCCCTCCTCTGTTGCCCATTCTATATATCTATAGATGGAAGTCTGGAGATGAAAAAAAATGCCAATAGCAACCAAAAAAACCAGAAAAGCAACTTAATTCGCCACTCTTCAGCAATGTTTCCACAGTGATCAGACCATAAACCTTACATCATTCCTATGAGGTTAACTCAGTCTCAGAGATGAGAGAAACAGTGAACCAGAAAAATAGTAAGTTACTTCTGAGTTTTGCTTACCATACCTCTGCCTTTCATGGGCTTCAAAGTCATGAAATTGCTGGCAAGTGATAACTCAGGGCATAGCAAGGCTGAAATTGCAGAAACACACCCTAGAGCAGAGGGAAGCCCTATCATGCCAGGGCAGCAGTGCTCACTGAGTCCTCTGCTTACCCTGAAAGGCTGGCTGTACTTCAATTTTGCCAATAAGAAAAGTGAGTGAAAAAGGAAAAAAAAAAGTGATTATTTATTTAATGTGAGAGTAAGAGAATTCACACCCAGGACTGAGTGCAGAAACCTTGGTTCTTCCTGTGCCTTACAGTGTCTCCTGCAACTGGCTCCCTCTTCCCACTTAAGAGCTGTCCAGACTTGCTTTACCTGACAACCACTCTGGGAGACATGCTCACTTTATAGATGAGAATGAGACTTGGAGAGGCTAGGCTGACTTCTATGACTATATCACCACACGTGCGATCAGCCACACATGCTCACCTGTTCAGGTCTTCTGGACTCTCAAGTCTGTGTGACCTTTCCATTGATCATACTGTTTCCAAAAGTTCTTTATTTTCTAGCTATGGTATGAACGCTTACCTCTTCTTTTTGATGGAAGACTGTGAAAAGCCCATCCAATAGCAGCACTATGTTCAGCTCACAGTGATCAGGACAGAGCATGTGAGTGGTGGGTAGAAATTAAGGCCTGTGTGCCGATGCCCAAGTGCACACTCAATGAACTATGCTGCTCTCCAGACACTGGGTCTTCATTAGCTGTCTCAGATTCCAAACAGCAACCATGCAGGCAATACCTTGAACTGCCTGTATTACATTCTTTTCCATGAACTCAAGTTTTAAAAATATCAATTCTCAGCCACATGTCTTTTAAGCCCAGATATTTGGGAGCTAAAGCAGGAGATTAACTTGAGCCTAGGAGTTCAAAGCCAACCTGAGCAATACAGCAAAATATCATCCCAATACAAAACAGTAAAATCAAAATTCTAATTCTCAAAATGAAAAACAAACTGTGGTATGGAACTATGCTTTACACAGAATTATTAGAATTAAAAAGAGTAACCAAAAGGGGATAAATCAGGTTTTTCGGGAAAGTCACAAGTACTAAAAGCAGATTCTTCACTTTGTTATTCCTGATAAAGGAAACAGCACAGAATTTTTAAATTTCTAGAAGCTGTATTTTTATGATTCAGAGACATTCAATGATTTGCTCATGATGCTATAGAATTTCAGAACTTACCACACATTATCCCCAAGGCTGTGCTAAATACGGCCATATATCCAAAGTAAAATGATGTCTGAAATAAGCCATACATCCTGCAATAAAACAAAATGACACTTAGTATATATTTTGCTATTGATAAGACCTTAAATTTTACTAAACGACAGATTTAATTTCCTATTTAGGAATGATGAGAAAATGTCTCTACTTACTTTGTTTTGAAAAAATAGTAGTAAAAGGAATACATGTAAACATAGATTGCAGTTGATGCGGCAGAGAGAAAACTTGTCCATTGCCTGGAGAGAGGGGTAATAACGAATGAATGGCATTAAGAATTGTAAAGCAGAGAAATTTACAAAAACATCCTTTAAAATTCTATGTATTAAAAACCAGCAGAGCTGTACCTGGTAAATGAATACATCAACAAGGAGAAATTCTCAGCTCTCCTCAGAAAGAAAGTTCCTACATTTTGTCAGATTATTTATTATAAGAGACTCTCATAAACAATTTTCCTTTTCAGATTTGTCTTTAAATGTTTGAAAGGGGAAAGATGTGCTAGGTGTCAGTGGCCCCTGCATGTCATCTTATCTACTCAGGAGGCTGAAATCTGAGGACCACAGTTCAAAGCCCAGGTAGAAAAGTCTGTGAGTCCAATAACCACCAAAAAGTCAGAAGAAAGCTGAGACAGAGCCTTGAGCAAAAATGCTAAGGGATAGTGCCCAAGCCCTGAGTTCAAGCTCTAATACTGAGGGTGGGGAGTTGAAGTGGGGAAGAGATGCTTCTTAATAAAATTCCATATCAAGCTTTTAAATAAAATATTTCACGTAGCACTTTTTTTTGGCCTAATTAATGCTATTTTTCTTCTAAAAGTTTTTATCATTATGGGTTGTGGTGGCACATGCCTGGAACACAGCTTATTGGAAGGACTAAGATTCAAGCCAGACTAGGCAAAAATTATCAAGGCTCTATCTCAATAAATAAGTTAGGCATGGTGATATATACATCTGTAATCTCAGCTAGCAAGAGGCATCTATTATGAGGAGCATGGTCTGAGGCTGGCCTTGGGCAAAACCTAAGACCCTATCTGAAAAGAGCTGAGGGTATGAATCAAGTGGTAGAACATCTGCCTAGCATGTGTGAGGCCAAGTTCAAACTCCACAGTGACACACGTACACCTCCCAACATGTTTTTTTCATTATTTTTACAAATGAAAAAAAAAAATCCCTTTACTCTCTTGGTGGGGTGGGGAGCAGTATCCGATTTTGAACTCCCTCAGCCAGCACTCTACCACTTGAGTCATACCTCCACTCAGTATTTTGGTAGTTCTATTTTTAGAACTACCAACTTTTCTGCCCCAACTGGCTTTGAACGATGATCTTGCAGATCACAGCCTCCTAAGTAGCTAGGACTACAGGAATGCATCACTAGTATCTGACTCCTTTCTTAAGTAGTAAATTTTCTTTATTTTATTAATTTACTTTATTGTTATAGAGGTGATGTACAGAAGGATTATGATTATATGAGTCAGGTAATATGTACATTTCCTTTCATATAGTGTCTTCTGTTCTCTCATTTTCTCCCAGTGCCTCCCTCCTGTGTCTATACATGAGTTCTAAAGTTCACTTTCATCAATGTCCAGTAAACTCCACTGCTGTACTTTTTCACTCTTTTCCCCTCGAGTTCTGTACCCTTCTCCAACCCTTCCAAAGATGTACTCGAATACACTATACATAAGGTAAAAAATACAGAATCATCAACAACTAAACTCCTCTTTAAAAAAAGAAGAAAAAAGTCTTGTGTCCATATCACGGAGTTCATTTCAGCATATATACTATTTTATATAAACATGAAGAGGCACTTAGGCATTGTGCCTTTGTGTTTCTCTCCTAAAAGTATTTCCTTTTTGTCTCACTGTATGCAAGTATCTAGAATCCTGTATAATTTATTGTATCCCAGTGCATTTTAGATCTAATTTCCCCTTATCAGAGAGAACAAGTACTATTTGTCTCTCTGAGCTTGTCTTACCTCACTTAACATGATTTGTTCTACCACCATCAATCCCTTAAATAGTAAAACTTTTATACAGATGTTGTTCTCAGCTTCGGGGATTTCACAGACAGTCTTAATGTAGGTACTTACCACCTATAGTCCTCCGCATTTAGCAGGAAGTATGTGCAGACGATGGTCACGCAAACAGTCACAATGCACAGAATGACCAGCACCAGCATCATGAAGCCATAGACATAATAGATCTTATACGCCCAGAAAGAGGTGAAGATGAAATACCTAAGATGTGATAAAGACATGGCTTCAATCTTCATCTCAAAGATCACTCAGTTCTTGCTGAGACACATTACGTTTCACCTTTCACGTTTAGCTCACTTAAATGACTTCTTTTAAGTAACTTCTCAGTTTCCCTAATCCTTATCTCATGTGTTAAATCCTCAAAATATTTTATTGTATTTAATCAGTAACAGATCTTTCAGGAAGATATTCAGATCTAAGCAAACTGAACAAACTATAGCTTAAAGGAGTCAACTGCAGAAAAGAACTAGTGAAAGTAGTTGAAAGTCTCCATTTGCAAAAGTCAGTTCCTTCATTTTTATATACTATTTTATCAATGTATTATTTTATATTTATAAAAATGTTCTCTTACATGGAAAAATATAAGTTGACAGAGTAATATATAAAATTTGAAAAAGAAAATTAGGAAAACAAAGCCTAAGAATGATTTACATGGTCTTCAGAGGGCAGTAAGGGAAAAGTAGAAAGATTTCTACTCTCATTCAGCATTAAGTCAGAACAAGACCTTGAATCTCTTCTTTTTCATCTGTTTGCTAGCTCACTTATTATCATTCATGTTATCAGCAAGCCTTAACAGAGCCTCTGTTCCCTCGCTGTTAAGTGATAGAGGTCTAAAAGCTAATTTAAAAAAGTATCCAGACTCCTTTCTGGAAGGGATCAATAACTCTGTTAAATGCTGTTATGGTTTCAAGGTTGTGTATCTCCCAAGGATGCTTTGCTGACTAAAAGTCTTGATCCCAAACAGGGCCATATGGGAGGTGCGTAGAGTACTAGTGGGGTACCTTTGGAAGGAACAGTGGGATGTAGGCCTTCTTTTTGACTTCTTTATAATCCCCACCTCTCAGATATTCCCATTTATATCATCCTCACCAGCAGTCAAACCAAAAGGACTGCCTAATCTTGCACTTTGAACCTCCAAAAATGTTGGCACTTCATAAAGTTAGCTGCTTGAAAAATTTTGTTAAAGCAATGTATACTACTTTAATAATTCCATATCTACAACAAACAATTCTCTTTATTATAATCAAATCCCTCAAAATATAAATACACCGCAGGAACTTACATTTCAATAAAGATTGAGCCAAAAGGTAAAATTCCTCCCAGGCAAACAATAACTGCAGGCTCCATAAACCTGGAAAATATTAAAGTAACAGTAAGCTTCCAATATGATTTTTATAGGATATATAAGTCCTAAGGATAAAAGTAAACCAGTAAAAAGAAAAATCAAAACCCAAAGATAACAACACACAGCTTGGTTTCAAATTAGTCATAGGTTATAATCAATAGTCTTTGCAATATTAAAGCCTAAAGTATTTGAGGAATAAAGTACTGCAACTGAAAGAACTTAAAAAAAATCTCTTTACTCTTACTGTGACACTTCTCAATAACTTCTATGAACTCTATAGGCATTTACTTACAGAAAGCCAAAGAGAAGAAAATAGAATGTGAAGCAACTTTTCATAAACTGTGGCTTTGCTACATCTCTGCTCACTCTGCACTTCCTTTTTCAGTGAATTACATAGTTAAAATAGTTAAAAATGATTTATAATGAAGCCAAAGAAAAAATAAGAACTAAAATTCAAACTTCATTCATTCACTCAACACTTACTGATGATAATCAGTCATTCTCCACCTGGATTGCCTTCTGAAATACTCTCTTCCTGAAAGCACTGGCTCATGTGTTCTCCTTTAAGGCCTCCCAAGTCTCCAGAGGAGAGATGGCCCCATTGCCTGGTGAATACAGCCCACTGCAGCACTTAGTACTTAGTACAGTACTGTCAAGTTACCTATAGCATATTTCACTAGACTACAATATCAGCAAGAACAAGCTAGAAATCTACATACTCCCACTGCTGAGCACAGCATCTGAGCACAGGAAAAATAACAAACATCTTTTGTGGTGAATAAACTGGAAAACTAAGAAGAAAATGTAAGTTCACTAGACTACAATGTCAGCAATAACAAGCTAGAAATCTACATACTCCCACTGCCAAGGCACAGTATCTGGGCAGAGGAAAAATAACATCTTTTGAGGTGAATAAACTGGAAAACTAAGAAGAAAATGTAAGAAATTCAAAGCTAGAAAAAAAAAGTAACTTTAGTCTAGTTCCCTTCTTCTACAGTTAGCCAACACCCACAAAAGTTGAAAGTGATCTGATACAACACATTAAGTGATAGCCAAATCTATAATCAGATTTTAATTCCCATGCAATTAAAAAACAAGGCTCGGCTTGAGCGGAAGTGCTCAGGGACAGTGCCCAGGCCTTGAGTTCAAATCTTGAATACCAACTGGGACAAGCCATCCCAGCCAACGAAGCACCTAGACTCAGCCAGTCTGGGGAACAAGGAAACATGGAGAGGAGTAAGAGATAATGTCACATCAGCTACTTTGTGTCTGCCCTTTCAAAATTAACCAGAGCTGGGAGGTCAGTGGAAGTAAGAAGCCTACCCAGCCAATGTCTATACCTGTCTACCTATTAATGGAACAGGAATTTATATTCTTGCCTTTGTCACCTGACTTCTCTACCTAGTCGCCAGATGTCAGAAGTAGCTAGGGACATTTCTACCAACATTTTCAGCACCAAGTCCTTCCTCTTGCCATTTATTTGCTGTTTAGTATTTTTTTTTCCAGCCCCTCAATGCTCATGAGACTTCTCCAGACTTCACCTAAGGACTCAATCCACCAAGGGACAGCTGCTGCTCACTGCCTTCTCTGGGAGGGGACCAAATTCCAGCCTTTTATCCCTATTGTCGGCGCCCCTTGTCAGCAGGAAGTAGCCAGAGAGAATCCTCGCCCTATTTCATGATTATTAAAAGGTTGGAATGTAAGGTTCGCTCCTGGATGGCTAGCAGACTCCACCCTCCTCGCAGCAAAGTCTCCACCCAGTACCTGCGTTACCTAGGCAACTGGGACACCTGGAAGAGGTCACATCTGCATCCGCTGAGGTCACATCTGAATTTGATGTGGCCACACCTTTCCCCGCCCATACTGTACATAAGGCCTAGCCCAGGCCCAGAAGCGCTCTTGCTCTTCTTTTCTAGCTCTCTCTGCTCTCTCTCTGCTCTAGCTCTTTCCTCTCTTTCTCAGCCACGTGGAGTGCCAACCTTGCCTGGTCCCAGCAGGTCTACTGAATAAACCTACCCCTTACCTGAATAGCCACGTGAGTGTTACTGTTCTTACCCCTCTCTCTGCTCTTTTCTAGCTCTTTCCTCTCTTTCCCAGCTCTCTCTCATTCCCAGGCCTTTCCCAGCCACGTGGAGTGCCAACCTAGCCTGGTCCCAACAGGTCTACTGAATAAACCTACCCCTTACCTGGAAAAAAAAAAAAAGGCTCGGTGTTAGATGTGGTAGCTCATGCTTGTAATCCCAGCTACTTAGATAGTGCAGACCCAGGAGGATCAAGGTTCAGAGCTAGCCCAGGCAAGTTAATGAGATTTCATCTCAATAAACAAGCTGGTCATGGTGTGGCACATCTGTAATCACAATAACTGGGGAGGCATAGGGAGGAGACCAGACCAAAAAAAAAAAAAAAAAAAAAAAAAAACTTGGGCTGCTATCCAAAAAAGTAACTAAAGCAAAGAGAGCTGGAGGCACAGCTCAAATGGCAGACCCTGAGTTCAAACCCTAGTACTACCAAAAACAAAATAAGTTATACATCAGTCTTTCTACACTCAACTGGGACTCAACTAATAAGTTATACATCAGTCTTTCTACACTCAACTGGGACTCAACTCTAATGAGTAAGGGCACAGGCAAATGATATTCATTCCTCTCCTTCACTAGTCTCAGTGACCTGGAAATACTTCTTCTCAGATGTGAGGTAAACATGAGAACACTGGTCCAGTCTGTCTAATAGTGATTTAGGGGAAAAAAAAGAAGTTGAAGACTCAAAATTGCTATATATCCATATAGCAATAAGAAAAGCAACATATGACTAATTCCTCAGACTAGATCACTCCCCTAAAACTATAGGCCTGTTTTATTCAGCCTCTATTTCCATATACATCTACATACTTCCACTCCTAGAAAAGACAAGTAACATTTGCATGTTTGTATAAGTAGCTAGATATGTTATATATAGACACACTTAAGAGTAAATATCTAAGAAAAGTATTTTTCCAATTTATATTGCTTATATTTATGTATACAGTCTACTCTGTATCATCCTAAGACGATGATAAATTCAATTAATTCTATCCTATTAAAAACTAGGAAAGGGGCTGGGAAGGTGGCTCAGTGGTGGAGCACTTGCCTTGCATGCATGAGGCCCTGGGTTCGATTCCTCAGCACTACATAAGCAAAAAGAAAAAAAGCCAGAAGTGGTGCTGTGGCTCAGGTGGTAGAGCGCTAGCCTTGAGGTGAAGAGCTAAGGGACAGCACCCAGGCCTAGAGTTCAGACCCCACGACTGGACCCAAAAAACAAAACAAAACAAAACTAGGAAATTCAAGCCCCACAACCGACCAAAAAAAAAAAAAAAAAAAAGTAAAATAAAAACTAGGAAAATACAGCTAGGTGCTGCTGACTTGTGCCTAGCTACTCAGGGAGGCTGAGATGTGAGGATCCAGGTTCAAAGCCAGCCTGGACAGACAAATCTGAGACGCTTCAATTAACCAGCAAAAAGCTGGAAGTGGAGGGATGGCTCAAGCAGAGTGACAGAAGTTGATCAAAAAAGACTAAGCCAGAGCTTAAGATCCTGAGTTCAAACACCAGTACTGGCAACGAATTAGAGAGGAGGTGGAGGTGGCACAGGAAAGAAGGAAGGAAGAAAGGAAGGAAGGAGAGAGAGAAAGAGGGAGAGGGAGTGAGAGAGAGAGAAGGAAGAAAGGAGGTAGGGAAGAAAGGAGGGAGGAAGTGAGAGAGAGAAAAAAGGAAAAAAGAAGAAAGAAATTCTGTACTATTGCAAAGTGAGGATAAACTGTGACTTAGAAAAGATGTTACAGACATCAAATACAGTGAAAGCAGGGGTTATACTGTGGGGGAGGGACATACAAAGCAACAAAGAAATAATCATATAAATGCGTTAGAAACAAATGCATGAAAGAAAAAAAACATTTAAATACATATCTTAGGGTTCATTTTCCTAACATCACCTTAAACAAGTCGTTTAAATAAGGATACAGGTGGACCCGTTGCAACAATGAGAAGTACAAGTTGTCATGTTGAAAACGAATTTTACAACTTTGGGGGGGGGGGGGGGAGAGGATGGGGGAGGGCTTGGAAGGGATGGGAAAGGGAAACAAAGGAGGAGGCTACAATGATTGATAAGAAATGTACTCATTATCTTGCCCATGTAATTGTAACCCCTCTGTACAGTTTTTTCACAATAAAAAAAAAGAAAAAAGGTAACTTTTTCACTTATTGAGCACAAGTAAGTATGATTTGTCATGTTAATTAAAAACATTCACTTATTTTAAAATACTGACCAAATTAGTCTGTTTATATCTTGGATTTTTTTTAAAAAACTAAAAGGAACAAAACATTAGACATAAGCTACTAAAATAGCTGTGGCAAAAACTGGAAAAAGGAAATGACTGAGTACAGTTAAGAAAATCAAAATCATTTTATCCATTTTAAGAACTGCTAATAAAAAAGGCAAAGGTAAAAAAAAGAAAAAGAAAAAAAAGAAAAGATGTTACAGGCCAGGAGTTAGCAGATTTTTCTGTGTATGTCCACATAGTAAATGGTTCAGGTTTTGGAGGAGATATGGTCTGTAAGGTACAGGCAACCACAGACTTGTGGCTGACACCTGTAATCCCCCCACCAACTATACAGTAAGTGTAGGTAGAAGGATGCTGATTTAAGGCCAGGTTAGGCAAAAGCTAGACACTACCTGAAGATAAAATAAAAGCAAGAAAAACTAAGGAATGGCTCAGTGAAAAGTCTGCTTAGCAAGCACAAACAGGTCTTCAGTTCAAAGCCCAGTACCTAAAAAAAAAGAAAAGGCAGCCAATTAACAGGTTAAATTTAACCTGCAGGCTTAAAAAAAAAAAAAAAAAAAAAAAAAACTGGCAAAACTGGGTTTTGGTGGCTCACACTTGTCATCCTAGCTACTCAGCTTGAGCAAAAAAGTCTGTGAGACTCTCCAATTAACCACCAGAAAACCAGAAGTGGCACTGTGGCTCAAAATGAGAGTGTTATAGCCTTGAGCAAAAAGAGCTCTGGGACAGAACCCAGACCCTGAGTTCAAGCCCCACAACTGACCAAAAACAAAACAAAACAAAACACACCAACCAAACAACATCAACAAAAACAAACTGGTGAAGTAGTTAGGTGCTGGTGGCTTGAACCTGTAATCCTAGCAACTCAAAAGTTGAAAGGCAGCCCTGGCAGAAAAGTATGTCTTATCCCCAATCAAAAAAAAGTGAAGCATTAGCTTTCTACCTATCAAAGCATCTGACTTATCTGAATGGCAATATTATTCAGAAACTAAAATAAGGACGTAATGTAATACTACTTCTATAATATAAACTGAGAGGAAAATAAATACCAACAAATTCTTAAGCTCAAATTTAAAAGTCTCATAAACACATGCAAACTCTAAAGTTATATATGTTTTAAGAACTTCTTTATTGTGAGAAACAACCATATAAGATATAGTATTCTTACCATTTTTTCTCTGGTATAGGACGAGGCACAGCATTGACTCGACAAGGGAAGTTGGGCTGGCCTGACAGATTTCGGCCAAGAATTGTACCAACAAGATTTAAAGGAAGAATAACAAAAAAGCAAATGCAACAAACAGCCACCTATTAAAACAAAAAGTATGATTATCCAGAGAACAGTAATACTAATAAAAAACAAGAGACTCTTAAAATTTAAGCACAATTCGATCACAAAAGAAAATGTTTAAGTTCAGTAAAGACTAGAATTGTATAAAATATAACACTATTAGAACAGGTAAATATTATAATTGAATCAAACACCAGCTGAATTGTTTCCTATCATTTTGGTTATCCATTTCTCTATTCTTTCATACTCTGTCTGATAAATCCTTTGTTCTCGTCTTTCTTCCTCAGTTGTCATGCTTTATTTAATGTTATCTATGCTTCATCTTTTATCGTTATAACCAATTTACTGGGCTCATTGAACTTTACAAACTCTATTCACCTATTTCACCTATAGGTGAAAAAAATGAGATCCAGAGAGGCTAGGTAATTTTTTGTGATCATACATCTAGTATGTAGACTAACTAAAATTTTAACTCAGATCTGCTGGCCCAAAGGTTCATGCTAATTCTATTCTACAGTGCCTTGAAATTTGACAACAGAAGTATCTCTGCCATGTATATGTGCCATTACTAAAATAATACAAATGTTTCTCAAGAGCCTAAAATTAGACAAAGCCATATATTTTAGAACCAAAGAGGACAATTGGAAAGTATTTATTTAGTAATTTTATAAAACATACAAACTTTGGGGGATAGCATCTAGCTAAAATCAATTCACTCTGAACTTTAGATAAAATGAAAAACCAAATTCCTAAAATCAATTATACATTTTGGGATTTTATTTTTATATTTGTTTTAATTTGTTGGTGGTGGGGCCTGAACTCTGGGCCGGGGTGTTGTCCCTCAGCTCTTCAGCTCAGAGTTAGTGCTCTACCACTTGAGCCACAGCATCACTTCTGGCTTTTTCTGCTTATGTGGTGCTGAGGAATCAAACCCAGGGCCTCATGCATGCAAGGAAAGCACTCTACCACTGAGCCACCTTCCCAGCCCCCATTTTGGGATTTTAATAAATATAAAGTAGAAGTGAGAGGAAAAGCTGTGAAGAAACACAGAAATAAGAGTGACACGGTAGTGGGGCTGGGAAGGTGGCTCAGTGGTAGAGCGCTTGCCTTACATGCCTGAGGCCGTGGGTTCGATTCCTCAGCACCACATACGAAAAAAGTCAGAAGTGGCGCTGTGGCTCAAGTGGTAGAGCGCTAGCCTTGAGCTGAAGAGCTGAGGGACAGCGCCCAGGCCCAGAGAGCTGAAGAGCTGAGGGACAGCACCCAGGCCCAGAGTTCAGGCCCCACGACCGGACCAAAAACAAAACACAACAACAACAACAAAAAGAGTGACACGGTAGAAAAATGACCATGATTATATGAATGTTTTTTGAACCAATGTTAGTGAAAACTCACATTATATTCTGTGTGTGTAAAAAGCCAAGGTATCACTGCCTTTCAGCTAAAACATGTATAAATGTGTGACAATTAAGAAAGTTCTGTAATCTCATTAAGGATCAGATTAAGGAACTCATTTTGTCTCAGTTCACACCTTTGAATAACACAAACTTATGGTCACATAATAAGAACTATATGAAACATAAAAAATAAACAGGTGCTGGGTGCTGATGGTTCCCGCCTATAATCCTAGCTACTCAGTAGGCTGAGATCTGAGGAACATGGTTCAAAGCTAGCCCAGGCAGGAAAGTCTGTAAGACTCTTATCTCCAGCTAATTACCAGAAAAACAGAAGTGGTGCTGTCACTCAAGTGGCAGAGCACTTGCCTTGAGCTGAAGAGCTCAGGGACCACTAGTGGCCAGGACAGAGTTCAAGCCTCATGACAGACAAAAAAAAATTAAAATTAAAATTAAAAAAACCAGGTTGTACAGTATCTTTACAATAAAAATATATTTTGAAAAAACAGGTGCTTTTAAGATACTTTAAAGTATTATGTTTCATATATTAATAGGATAGTAAATATTGTCTCCAATTTGTTTGTTCAGTTATTTTTTTGGGGGGGAGAAGGGTTCTAGTACTAGGGCTCCTACTTGAGGTCACATGCCCCATCTCCACTTTTTTTTTGGGGGGGGGGAGACTTAAGGGAACATTCCTATGTGCAATCATATGATCTAAAAAAGAGCTTAGGGGTTTCAGAGTACTTCAGAAATTCGTAAGAATTTGATTTGGAAATCCTTTTGAAAAGAAAGTGTGTGTGTGTGTGTGTGTGTGTGTGTGTGTGTGTGTGTGTGTGTGTGTGTGTGTGTGTGTGTGTGTGTGTGTGTGTGTGTGTGTGTGTGTGTGTGTGTGTGTGTGTCTGTGTCTGTGTGTGTCTGTGTGTACACATGCACACGTGTGTATGCTCATGCAAGTGTGCCCCAGTCCTAGGCCTTAAAACTCAGAACCTGGAAACTGTCCCTAAACTTTTGTGCTCAAGGCTATAGAATTCTACCACTTGGAGCTAGAGCTCCATTTCCAGCTTTTTAGTAGTTAATTCAATCTCATAGACTTTCCTACCCAGGCTAGCTTTGAGACTCAAGCCTCAAATTGAAGCCTCTTGAGTAGCTAGGATTACAGATATGAGTGACCAGCACCTGGCTCTTGAAAATAATTTTTTAAAAATTATGCCTAGTTATAATAAAGTACATAGTTCTCAAATGAATTCTACAACAAATACTAATACAATGGAGATAACTTAGAGACTGGTTCATTTTTGTGCAAGCCTCAGAAAAAAAGCCTTTTTTATCTATCTATCTATCTATCTATCTATCTATCTATCTATCTATCTATCTATCTATCTATCTATCTATCTATCTACCTACCTATCTATCTATCTACCTACCCACCTATCTATCTATCTATCTACTTCTGGATGATAAGAAAGGCTTGGATGGTACACTGGTTTTTTATTCTACCTCCCATGGTCCATCTCAGCTGCAACATATTTGCTCACTAAAAGTTATAGAAGCAAAAGCACTACTACAAGCCCTATGTGCTACAAAGCACTTGAGTAAGTGACATGTATGAAAGCACCTCTAGCCTTCTGCACACAAGAATCAATTTAAAAAGAAAAACCATAAACCTTCATTAAGACAGTATCAAATATTTAGCTTTGTTGAAAACTTCCTCTCCCACTCGGGCACTGGTGGCTCACACCTATAACCCTAGCTACTTGGAAGGCTGCGATCTTAGAATCATAGTTTGAAGTCAACTGAGGCAAGAATGTTATTTCCAATTAACTACCAAAGGAGCACATAGGAGCCCCTGAGTTCAAGCCCCAGGAGTAGTGCACACATGCACACTTGTACACACACACATGTACACACATATGCACACGCATGCACATACACTATATATACACACATACATATGGATAAATTCAACAAAAATATGTATAAAACACAAACATTAACATCAATAAATCACTGTTGAGAAAAATTAAAGGTATGTAAATAAGAGACATATTATGTTCATGACTCAAATGATTCAGTAACGTTAAGATGCCAATTACTCCCAATCAAAGTCCTAAAGTTTGTAGAAACCAACAAGCTGATTCTAAATTTTATGTACAAATACAAAGAATATTAAAAAGCCAAAATAATTTTGAGAAGAACTGATTTCAATTTTTTGAAAAGGAAAAATGTAAATAATCACAACAAAAAATATGATCAAAAAACCTGATAATCACCACCACCAGCACCACCAAAACAAAGAAAATGTAATTTGGGGTAAATTATTATGCAAAAGTCTAAGAAATAGTGGGCCATAATACTGGCTCTGCTTCCCTTTGAGAATTCTTCTAAAACTATATGAGATAATGGGAATGTAAATGTTCTGTAATCTACAAAGCATGCTGCAAATAATGTGTTATCATCTGTCCTTATGATTAATCTTTTTAGATCTGGCACATAATTTCAGCCAGATAATAATTTTGTTTGATGTATGCTGTCTCCTGTATTCCATAACTAATTTGCTCCCTGGTCTCATATCCTTTTTCAACTTAATTAGGAGATCACTATGTCTTTGAGTTATTAATAATCATTTCAATAGGTTAGAGACAAGAATATCAACCACATGATCCTAACACACAAATGTAATGCATTACAAGTAACATCAATACTTTAACTCTGTAATTATTTAGCTAATATATATCTGCTGCACTACTATTTTAACCACATTTCTTTAGATGTGATACTTCATTTATACTCTTTTGTTCTTCTAGTCTATTAAAACTTACCAAAAAAGGAAATGAAACAATTTCCCTTTAATGAATCCAAACTGGCTCCCAATGTTCATTACTCCTGTCATTAATCTTGTGCTTTATCAATATCAATTTCAAAATATTCTATAAGGTGTAACAAACGTTCTCCCTTTTCCCCTAGAAGAGTAAACTTGCCTATGTTGTTTTACAGTACTTAAATTAGTTATTCAAACATTACTTATATGGGGGCTGGGAAGGTGGCTCAGTGGTAGAGCGCTTGCCTTGCATGACTGAGGCCCTGGGTTCGATTCCTCAGCACCACATAAGCAAAAAGAAAAAAGCAGGAAGTGGCGCTGTGGCTCAAGTGGTAGAGTGCTAGCCTTGAGCTGAAGAACTGAGGGACAGAGCCCAGGCCCAGAGTTCAGGCCCCATGACCGGACCCCAAAAAAAAAAAAAAAATTATTGTTCTCAGCTGGGGTGCCGGTGGCTCATATGCCTGTAATCCTAGCTATTACAAGGCTGAGATCTGAGGCTTGAGGTTCAAAGCCAGCCTGGGCAGAAAAGTCCATGAGACTCTTATCTCCAAGTAATCACAGAAAAAAATGCCTGAAGTAGAGATCTGGCTCAAGGGTAGAGTGCTAGACTTGAGCAAATGTAGCTCAGGGACAGAGTGTAGGCCCAGAATTCAAGCCCAGGACTGGCAAAAGAAAAAAAGAAAAAGGACTCTCCTAGCACTATTTTTATATACCTTTACTTCCCAGTATAAGGTACATAACTTGGGGTATTTACTCTTCCAGCCACCTTTTAGATACATACTGCTTTATAGTTTTGGGTCTTTTGGGTTTTGTTGTTCTTGGTATGGTATTTGAACTCAGGGCCTTGCACTTGCTAGGAAACCGTAAGAATACTTAAGCAAATAAAAAAGGAACTCTAGTCCTTTTTTGGTTTAGTTATTTTGTGGGTAGGGTCTTATATTTTTGCCTAGGCTGACCTTAGGTGATGATCTTCATATACTTCCCACATATCGAGGAGTACAGGTAGCACCACCACACATGCTTACATGTTGAAATGGGGTTTTACTAACTTCTAGTTTAGGTTGGCCTCAAACTGTGATCCTCTTGGCTCTCTGTCTCCAGAGTAGCTGAAATTACTGTTAAAGTCTTTATCACCAAAAAGTATATAGTAAACTTGGTCTCAAATTCTTCCTCACTATTGTGATTTCTGATTACATACCATGAATTTCATTTCTGAGAATCTCCAATTTTCAAGTCACTTTCCCAGTTATGGCTCAAGATGCAAGCTATGATAAAACATTTCCCTGTACATTGTGAAATCTGATTTCTAAAGCCTATGGCATATTTCTGAATATGTTCAAGATCCCCTTCCAAACAAATGCAATAGTGGTACTCAGTATAATGAGCTATATAATTTGTAGGTAGGGATGGGAGGGAAAAACTGGGAAAGAGCAAAGGAAGGGGTGATACTGAAGAGGTGACAAACAGAAATGTACTCATTACCTGACATAACTGCAACCCCTCTGTATATATCTCCTTTATAACAACAATAAAAAAATTTAATGTTTTTAAAAAAGATCCCCCTCCAGATCTAAAACTAGCCTTTAGATACACAGAATGGCTGTTATCGATATATTTCAAAATGTTCCTAATTCCCAACTAAAAAGTACTGACAATTCAGTGAAATGTCTCTTCAGTGTATCTAAAAAATTGAAATTGTAAACCAATCAGTCATCTGAAATTTCTCTGAAGCCATTTGGATAACTCTTGTGTGAAAGAAACTATAAATAAGGCTAAAACTCTGAAAGAGATGTATATTCTAGTTGCTATTCTATCACTCACTGCCTGTATGACCTTGCTAAAGCTATTTGTGTCTTACATGCAACTTGCAAGGTATGTGTATATGTACACACAAGTACACATCAAGAATGAAGTCTAGTTTGAATCTAAGATTATGCTTTTGGCAAAAAAAAAAAAAAAAGGAAAAGTTGGGAGACTGCTAGTTAACGATGTAAAGTATGACTATCTTTGTTCTACTTTTAAAATATTTAAATAATCCAAAACATTTCAAAGTCTGTGAGTATTGCTAAAATATAAAAGGACTTTTAATATTTGTATCAATATATATCACTAATATGATGAATAATGAATTTAGTGAAGTCCTATAATGCTTAGTGAAGTTCTAAAATTATGTTAATAAAAAATAATAGGGAGGCAGTTTCTTCCTACCACTGCACTCACCTATCACCTCAAAACATACTTCTTACTATATCATTATTCTCTCTAAAATATATTCACCAGTTTTTGCCATCTCTGATAAAAAGCTATAGCGTGCTTTCTTTTGCCTTACATAATAGTCAGCTTCTCATTACTGGCTCACAGAATCAAGCAAGAAGGGAGTTAAACTACCTTTAAATTTTAGCCAAATTTTATGGATCCCAATAATATTTTTCTCATCATCTAACTTTCTAGGATTCAGAAGAGACTGGCTAAAACTATCAGAAACCTTAAAAAAAAAAACTCTGGAGAGGCAGAGATTTCATAATTAGAATGTTTATACTTACTTTATAAGGAAGATTCAAGTAACTTACCATTGTTCCAAAAGGAATGGCTCTTGAGGCATGGTAATAAATGGCTATAAAGTTGATGAAGAAGGCAGTGCCGCACACCATAGCTGGGATAAGAAATGCCCCAATAAACATCTGCTTTATCCATCTCCTTCCTGAAAAACAAGGGAAATTATAAAAACCAGAACTAGACAGACAAATACCATCAATGTAAAAAATGCATTTATCTAGTACCAAATTATTTACTTACAAATTTAATAAAAAGACCATGAAATATGAGATCTTAATAACTTTCAAATCAGTAGCGAATAAAGACTAGTGGAATTCTTCAAGTTCCAGGTTATCCCTAGCTTCAAGAGTCAAGTATTATTTAGTATGAGGAGGACAAGGAGAAAACCTCCAGCTCCAGTACAGATCCAATTTTGAGAGGTAAGTGAAAAAACTCTAGACTTTGTGGGCCAGCCTCTACATTAAGCCTGATTTTTAGTGACCATTCCAACAAAATTACCATGATACAATCAGACTTTCTCAGGGCACAACCAATCAGAAGATGTTCTTAATAATGCAAAGATTTCATACCACAGACCCGAGCTTAAATGCTTTCAATTGTGTACCTGTGTGAGGGTATGTGTACAGGTGGATGAATTTGGCACACACCAGTCCTGGGGCTTTAACTCAAGGCCTAGGTGCTGTCCCTGAGCTTTTTTTGCTTAAGGCTACTACTCTACCACTTAAGCTACAGCTTCCCTTTTGGCTTTGGGTGGTAATCAGATAAGAGTTTCACAGACTTGGGCAGGATGCCCAAGCTGGCTTTAAACCACAATCCTCATCAGATCTCAGCTCCTGAGTACCCAGGATGACAGGAGTGAGCCATGGGTGCCAGGCTGCTTTCAATTTTTAAAAGTTAAGTGTAGTAAAGAAATAAGAGCTGGCTGTTCTTAACTCTTAATCAGAAAAAAAGCAAATTTATGTCCAAACCTGAATAAATTTCCTGTTTAAATGTTGCTGCTGTGAAGGCTCTTTTGAGAGTTATAAACTAAAACTTTTAGCCTAAGAACAGCTTAAGTTGCTTTAGGCATCCATGTTTCCTTAGGATATAGTCCTATATGACAGAACTTGTTTCCGAGGCATAAAGGTAGATTTCACAGACTGAACACCTAAGTAAAACTGTTAGGAATCCAGAATATGCCTGTAGGCAATCCAAAGAATTCCATAAACCAAAGAAAAGCAATGGCAAATAGAATATCCTTGGGGAAATTGAAGTGATTGTATGCTCTGGTTTCTTATAACTATAAATCTCTGCGTCTACCAAGAGAAAGCAGGATCCCCTAATGCTCATAATGCTTGAACAGGCTGTGAAAAAAATCATACTAAATAGTCTCTGTCTTTGAGAATATAAAGTCTTTCAACAACCCTATATTCATAAACTCTGAGCATCTTTCTGACCCCAGATTATTATTACAGGAAAAACAAACCTATGTACCCCTGAAAGAAACAGCAAGAGCAGCAACCTTTATCATCTGTTTGTTATCCTCATCATGTTTAGGTTGTAGTAGTAGAGGAGCAAGAGGTATTTAATATAAAATGCTTTCTATGATACTGAAAAAGAAAAATCTGTGATTTTAAATCACAAATAGCCCACCTTCCTATTCTCTTTTCACTGTCCAGAAGCTTTACCCACAGGCCATTCAGCATGCCTTTATATTCATCTTCAAAATTACACTCTAGATAAAGACCTCACATGGTACGTACTTAGGGACAAAGGCACCTCAAAGCAACATGATATCAACTAACTTAAATGTGTGTGTTCTTCTAGGTGTTCCTTGGGATTAATTTCACAATGAAGATTATCTACCAGTTATTCATAATGTGTGTATGTGTGTGTTGGCCCTGAGGCTTGAACTCAGGGCCTAGGTGCTATCCCTGAGCTTTTTGTGCTCAAGGTTGGTGTTTTATCACTTGAGCCACAGCTCCACTACAGGAAATAAAATGCAAAGGTTCTATAAAGACAAGCTAGAACACATAATAGGTTTGGTAGAGATTATAAAAATGGCCTAATAAAGGATTTTACAATGCTATTCTACCCATTTTAAATTCCAAGTGCTTCACAGTAAAGAAATAGTATCTGTAATTAAAAATATATAACTCCTAAGTTACCTCCTTGTCTAGCATACAGACTTCCTCCAAAATAACCATTCACTGGAGATGTCGCAGCATAGACAAATATGGCTGTACTGAGCATTGAACCCCTCCTAAAATGGCAAAAGAAACACATGATAAATTAAAAGCAACAATATAAATAAAGAAAAAATCATGTAGTCTGTTCCCTTATCAATTAATTTAATTTCAAAGATATTTAACATAGGAAAAAATATACTCAGGACTACAAAAGACCTCAAGAGCTTCTCTAGTAAGTGAATTTCTAGTTAAAACTGCACATAAATGACAAGAGACTGATCCAACATTTTTTTCCTGTTTCTGCAGCTAAATTTTTTAACATATTCCAAACAAGAATCACATTTTTTGGCAACAATATTATAAGCTGGCAGCAAAACTGTTCTGCAACCTGTAAACTAATCCCATCATATGCAACAGAATAGTCACAGAAAAGTGACTAAAATATTCCTTTTCTTAACCTGATCCAATGTTTGATATTCTTGCCTGCCACTAGAAATAAAAGGGGAATGGGTTAATCATATGAAATATTTCTATTTGGGGGCAGGGACATGGTTCAGGTTATAGAGTGCTTGCCTAGCAAACATGAAGTTCTGAGTTCAAACCCAGAACACTCTTCCCCCACCCAAAGGAAAAAAAAAAATCCTAACATGTGAAATGCTAACCTCTCTCTATACAATACTATAACAATAAAATTAATTTTTTAAAAAAACCACTATTATTTTAAATGGTATTTTACTGAAAGTTTTCTTATCTAGTTTCCTTTATGCTGCTAAAGAACATTTTTTTAAAAAAGTCTATTGGTCCACAAGGCAACAGTGACTCAGATCAAGAACCACTACCTACCAGGCACCTGTGGCTCATGCCTGTAATCCTAGCTACTCAGGAGGCTGAGATCTGAGGATTGCGGTTCAAAGCCAGCCTGAGCAGCAAAGTCTGTGAGACTCTTATTTCCAATAAACCACCAGAAAACCAGAAGTGGCACAGTGGCTCAAGTGACAGAGCTAAGGGACAGCCCCCAGACCCACGACTGACAAAATCACTAACCTTTACTACAACAACATGTAAGAAATTCAGACTAACCTCCTGTGGGATAGAACTGGAAAAGATATTTTTTAAATGTTAAAATGATAAATTGCAGTATATCATTTGCTAGTATATAAACAGGTACTCATTAATTAACCTTCTATATACTGTTTAACTATTGGTCTTGCAATATGTAGACTTCTTATGCTCAAAGATACCTATGTTCACTTTCTCATTAAGCTGATACACAATAGTGCAAACACTGCAATATCCCATTCCCATTAATATACAACTAACTAAACACAGTATAACATAAGGATTATGAGCCTCAAAGTTAATCAGTTCCAAGAGCTACATCTGTTTCTCAAGAACCCAATTAGACACTGCAAGTGGTAATTTATTTTTTCCATATCATTAACAAATATAAACCATTCTCATTGTACATGTTTGTTTCAGAGTTGACACAGACGTAACTATGCTGAAAACAGGTTGCTTTCAAGACTGAGAGTGTAGATAAAAGGAGACAGAATGCTAACATAGCAAATGTGTTCAATCAAACCCTAATACCACCAAGAAAAAAAAAACTACTTTTCAATTTTGTTGGAGGTATCGTACTTCAAATTATACTACAGAGCTACAGTTAGAAAAAAAAAAAAGAATTGTACGAAGATAGACACACAAACCAATGGAATATTAGAACCAGAAATAAGTCCACATAGCTATAATCATCTGAGAGTTGACAAAAGAGCAAAAAAAACAAAACAAAAAACACTTCATCAAATGGTACTAGGAAAACTGGATATCCACATGTAAAAGACTGAAAGTACACATTCATGCCCTGTACAAAAATCAACTTGAAATAAATCAAAGATCTTAAGGTAAGAAAATGCTATGGAAAACTCCTTAAAATACAGTCATAAGCAACTATTCTTTTTTAATAAGACTCCGACTGCCCAGGATATAAAATGACAAATGGGATTAAATTAAAAAGCTTCAGGGGCTGGGAAGGTGGCTCAGTGGTAGAGAGCTTGCCTTGCATGCATGAGGCCCTGGGTTCAATTCCCCAGCACCACATAAGCAAAAAGAAAAAAAAGCCAGAAGTGGTGCTGTGGCTCAAGTGGTAGAGCGCTAGCCTTGAGCTGAAGGACAGTACCCAGGCCCAGAGTTCAGGCCCCACAACTGGACCAAAAAAAAAAAAAAACTTCTGCATATCAAAGGAAAAAAATTATTGGAATCAAGAGACAGCCCATAGAATGAGAGAAAAATCTTTGCATGCTATTCATCAGACAAAAGTGAAAAAATAAAAACAAAATTATCAAATGAGCAAATGAATCAGTTCTCAAAAGAAAAAACACAAATGGTTAATGACAATCTTAGCCATATGAAATGCAAATCAGCTAAGATTCCATCTTTGTCAGAATGGTGGGAAAACATCAAGAACAAAAAAAAACAAATGGGAACACTGTTGGTGAAAATGTAAATCAGTACAACCACTATTAAAATACATATGGAAGTTCCTTGAAAAATTACAAATATGATCCTGCACTGCCACTAGAAAAATACTCAAAAGAATGTAAGCTAACAATGAACAGCAATACCTGTATACATGCATTTTAAAGATATTATATATATTGGTATATATACACCATAAAATATTATTCAGCCCAAAGAAAAAACTGAAGACATAGTTTGAAGGAAAATTGGTGGAACTGGAAACTTAAAGGCCAAAAATCCCATTTTTGCTTACATGCAGAAACAAGACCTGAAATAATGATGATAATTATGATGATATTAACAGGACATGAATATAAAAGGGGGGACCTGACAGAGGAAATCAGTGGGAGGGGAAATGGAAAGAAGACAAGAGTGCTGATGGGTGAAAATATATAATTACTTTTCTCAAATTAAAAAAAAAAAAGGAAAGGAAAGCTGCTTTCAGTGTAGGACCATTCTAACACCACAAGTTCCTAGTATCAGTACAAAGGCTGATTATCAAAAGGCTGCCTGCCCACTGCTGGGTGCTGGTGGCTCATGCCTATAATTCTAGCTACTCTGGAGGCTGAGATCAAAGGATCATGGTTCAAACACAGCCCAGCAAGAAAATTCCTGTGAGACTCTTCAATCAGCTACTCAAAAACAAGCCGGAAGTGGCACTGTGGCTCAAGTAGTAGAGCACTAAACTTGAGCACAAAGAGGCTTAGGCATAGCAACCAGGCCCGGAGTTCAAGCCCTGCCAGAGAAATGAAGTTATAATCATCTGCCATTTTTTTCTTCTTCTTTTTTTTTGTCCAGGGCTGAGGACCAAACCCAGGGCCTTGCGCGCGCCGGGCAGGCGCCCTTCCGCTGGGTTAAACCCCCAGCCCCTCATCTGCCAGTTTTAAAAATCTCATATATCCTTCACCTCTGTGTTCATAAATATTCTATAGGCATTTTACTCCCAGACCCTAAATGAGCCATTTTCATCTACACTTGAAAACAGCACTGAGGCAGCCTCCAAGTCCTGAGACTGGAGGAGAATCCAGTAAGCAATTGCTTTGCCTTCCCTTGCTGCTGCTGTACTACTCTCCATGAAAAGTGAAGCAGCAGCGGCATTGCAGGCCCACCCTAATCTTTTAAAATGCTCCAGAGTTAATTAATATCACACACAAACAGACATCTGTGATTTGTCTATCATCCTTTACCATCATGTACAATATTTTTTGTTCCTATTTTGTATACAGTTACAGTTTTAATGTAAATGGAAAGTACTAATTTAGTTACTGTGAAATTCTGGTGTTTCTTATAATGATCTCATTGAGTTATGAACTTCAAAGAAAAAAGAAAAAACTGCTCGATTTATAACCATTTTGCATTGAAAGTAACCTCTGCTTATCTTATTCGAACTCAACTGTTATATTCAACCATAAGTTCAGTAATGCTAGCAAGTTTTAGCATATACAGAGGAATATACATACGCATAGCTGACAGTTACTGCTCCCGATTTATCTGTAATATGACATTTATAGTATTGAGATTCTAAATAAGCAAATATTTAATTAGAATCTATTTATAACATTTTAGCAAAAAAAACCCAAAAAGATAATAAAGTTAAATATAAGCACTTACTCTGTATATAAATCTTCTATCATTGCAACAATAATAACAATGAGAGACACTGCAAATATCTGACACCCAGAACCAATGAGAGAAGAAAATATCAGTGGGTGACTTGATGGTCTAAATACATCTCCGTGCACCTGCTTCCATCCATATTCATCTCCTAGGTCTCTATCCTGTATTTAAGTATATACAATACATACAGAGAAAAGAAAACCAGTCAGAATCAAATAAAAACATAGAAAAATAAAGGTTTCCCTTTCTCCAAGTTTATACCTTTTTAAAAGCACTCTAAATATTCCAAAAAGACATTTCAAAGTTAACATAATGTCTGCTTTAATAACTTAGAATGTTATCTCACTTGGGTGAACATTTTCATGTCTTGCTAAAAAACCATTATTATATTTGATGCTATCTACTTTTCATGCCTCCTTCCTTCCCTCTCTTCCTCTTTTCTTCTAGTTTATTAATTATTTAAAATTTGTAGTGATGGGGATTGAATCCAAAAGCTTTGTTCATACTAAGCAAGTGTTCTACCACACAGCCAAACCCCCAACAAAGTTTCATTTTTTAAGAAAATGAGTCTCACTGGCTTACAATGGCTCATGCTTATAATCCTAACTACTCAGGAGGCTAAGACTTGAGGATCATGGTTTGAAGCCAGCCCAAGCAAGAAAGTCCATGAGATTCTTATTTCCAATTAACTACCAAAAAAGGAGGGGAGGAGGATGTGAAGCTGTGGCTTAAGTGGTAGAGTGCTGGCCTTGAGCAGAAATAGGTCATAACTAGTGTCCAGGCCCTGAGTTCAATCTCTAGGACTGGCACAAAAAGAAAGGAAGGAAAGAAGGAAGGAGGGAGAAAGGAAAGGAAGAAAAAAGGAAAGGAAAGAGGGAAGGAAGGAGAAATGAGTCTCACTAGGATGCCATATAAAACTTGAATTTCTGGAGCTGGGAAGGTGGCTCAGTGGTAGAGCGCTTGCCTTACATGCATAAGGCCCTGGGTTTGATTCCTCAGCACCACATAAGCAGGGGGAAAAAAAGCCGGAAGTGGCGCTGTAACTCAAGTGGTAGAGTGCTGGCCTTAAGCTGAAGAACTGAGGAACAGTGCCCAGGCACAGAGTTCAGGCCCCACGACCGGAACCCCCCAAAGAACTTGAATTTCTGAGCTCAAGTGATCTTCTTATCTCATCTTCTTGAGTAGCTGGAACTAAAAACCTGGACTACACATTACTTTAGACCTTTTTTGGAGGAGATGCATTTTTTACTGTAAAGATACAGTGCAATGTATTTTTGTTGTAAAGATACCGTACAAAGGGGTTATAGTTACACGAGTAAGGTAATGAGTCTATTTCCTATGCAGCATTGTTACCCCCTCACTTTAGATCTTTTTTAAAATTAAAAATTCTAAATTGGAAAATCTAACCTGGCCTCATGGATTTGTAAGTTAAAAACTGTTACTTATATTATGCTGTTGTTTTTTACTAAATGTAGTATAAAATGTTTTCTCACCATGTCATCCATTTCTTCTTCTTTACTGTACCGGGCATAATCTTTTCTTAAAGTTCTCATTAAAATCATTGAAACTAAGCCCACCAAGAAGATCACCATCATGAAGGAGTTAAAAATTGAAAACCAATGGATCTAAAATAACAGAAAATAATGTTATGTGAAGTATCAGTTAAAAATTTATAGGTTTCATGGCAACTGGACACTAGTAGAAAAAAGTCTCTAAAAACTTTTACATAAAGATCTAAATTCATGGAAATTGGTTTTCTTTACAGTAAACTTCTCCACACTGAAAACACACTATCACCTACACATTCAAATGGACCATAATTTAGCCATATGACATATGCTATTTAACTTTACAAGGAAAAAGCATAGGAGTGAAAAACAAACAGGCCTATAAATTTTAAGCCCAGTGCTACCAATTTCTACGTGGCTTTGGTAATCTAAAACAATGGAACAAAAAAAAAACTTATATGTGATTTGTGCTTTAATAACATACATAAAGTATAGCACTGTGACTGGTTAAAAAAAAAAAAGAATTAAGTGTTAATTCTCTTTCTCTGTTAAAACACTAAAATCAACACAGTTGTCATAGACTAAAGCTGCCTTCCTGACCCTACCAACCCAACTGCTGCCCTCTAGCACCCCCTAGTGGTGTTAATCCTAAAGCTGCATTTTTTAATTTAAAATTTAATTTTATTGCCAAGGTGATGTACATAGGAGTTAGTTACATAAGTAATGTAGTGAGTACATTTCTTGTTGAACTTGTTACCCCTTCCCTCATTTTTCTCCCACTTTCCCTCCTCCCCTACCTCTCCCAAATCACTGTCAAATTGGTTCCCCCTTTTCTCATTATTTTTTTGTTCTGCTTCCCTTCCCTAATTCAGATAAACGTATATACAATACCCAGGGTACCAAAATCAAATACAATGACAATAGGGGATAAACTATAGGGAGGAAAACACAAAAGAAGAAATCACGTAATACATTAAAACAAACAAAACAAATACAACAACAAATAAAAACTTTGTGTGTCCATGTCTTGGGGTTCATTTTGCTTAGCATCATCTTATATGATCATATGTACATAGCTATTGAGCTATTCTGCTCATCTGCTGAGATTATCCTAGACGTATACCATGTATTACAAATAAGGGAAACCATGGGACCTAGGTTTCTTTGGGTCTATCTTACTTCACTTAATGACTTTTTCTAAGTCCTTCCATTTTCTTACAAATGGGGTATCATTCTTTTTGATGAATTCACAGAATTCCATTACACACACAAACACACACACACACCACATTTTCTTGACCCATTTATCTACTGAGGGGCATCTGGGTTGGTATGGTAAATAATGATGCAATAAACATAATTGTGCTGGTAGCTTTAGTATGGCCTTGTTTGTGGTCATTTGGGTAAATGCCCAGAAAGTGGGATTGCTAGGTCACAGGGGACCTCTGGAAAGCAGTATGGAGGTTCCTCAAAAGACTAAACACAAAGCTACCCTTTCAATTGCTCCTGAAAGGGCTGGGAAGGTGGCTCAGTGGTAGAGCGCTTGCCTTGCATGCTCAAGGCCCTGGGTTCGATTCCTCAGCACCACATAAGAAAAAAGAAAAAAGCCGGAAGTGGCGCTGTAGCTCAAGTGGTAGAGCGCTAGCCTTGAGCTGAAGAGCTGAGGGACAGCGCCCAGGCCCCGAGTTCAGGCCCCACGACCGGACCCAAAAAAGAAAAAAAAAAAAAAAGATTTCGGGCTGGGAAGGTGGCTCAGTGGTAGAGCGCTTGCCTTGCATGCTCAAGGCCCTGGGTTCGATTCCTCAGCACCACATAAGCAAAAAGAAAAAAAGCCGGAAGTGGCGCTGTTGCTCAAGTGGTAGAGCGCTAGCCTTGAGCTGAAGAGCTGAGGGACAGTGCCCAGGCCCAGAGTTCAGGCCCCACGACCGGACCCAAAAAAAAAAAAAAAATTGCTCCTGAATTCTAGAATACAACTAGAGATGAACAACAAATGGGCAACAACAATGCCATCTTGTACAGAGTACCTGTTGTGTGCCAAACACTGACTAGAAGCTTCAGGAACACTATCAAAGTAAAACTGCCCCAAGACTCCACAAGGTATCATGATCGTGATCCTTGCTCTAATACTAAGGATACAAGCTGAAGAATTCAGTCATTTGACCAGGTTATGATAAACATCAGAACCTGAGCTAGATTCCGCTTTTAGCCAATGAATTAAGAATCACCACAACACTAACGCAGATCTCATCTCATTCCCTCCTCCCTACTTCAGGAAGGCACTATACGAATTCTCCTGTTTCTCTACACAGTTTTGTACTCTGCACTGACATAATCTGTGTACAAATGTAATGTTTTTGCTGTATCTTAAAAAGAGGGGGCTTAATCAAGTTGCAGAGCACCTGCCTAGCAAACATAAAGCACACAAAAGATTAGATCAAGCCAGACTTGGTAGTCCACAGCGGCCAATAATCCTAGATCCTCAGGTGATTGAGATTGGGATGTCTGAAGTTCAATGTCAGCGTGGCCAAAAAGCTCACTAAGCCCCATTTCAACCAATAAAAAGCTGGACACATGGACTGGGAAGGTGGCTCAGTGGTAGAGCGCTTGCCTTGCATGCTCGAGGCCCTGGGTTTGATTCCTCAGCACCACATAAGCAAAAAGAAAAAAGCCGAGGGCTGGGAAGGTGGCTCAGTGGTAGAGCACTTACCTTGCATGCCTGAGGCCCTGGGTTCGATTCCTCAGCACCACATAAGCAAAAAGAAAAATGCTGGAAGTGGCGCTGTGGCTCAAGTGGTAGAGCGCTAGCCTTGAGCTGAAGAGCTGAGGGACAGCGCCCAGGCCCAGAGTTCAGGTCCCACAACCAGACCCAAACGAAACAAAACAAAACAAAAACAAAAAAAACTTCAATTTTCAAAAGAAAAAAGCCGGAAGTGGCGCTGTGGCTCAAGTGGTAGAGCACTAGCCTTGAGCTGAAGAGCTGAAGGACAGCGCCCAGGCCCAGAGTTCAGGCCCCACGACCGGACCCCAAAAAAAAAAAGCTGGACACAATGGCAAGGACCTATCATGTTCCCAGCAAGACGGGAAGCATAAATAGAAGGATCATACTCCAGGCCAGGCTAGACCAAAAGGGAGACCCTATCTCAAAAACAGATAAGGTAAAAAGAGTTGGAAGTGTGGATCAAATGGTAGGCAGCCAGCCTATCAAGCAAGCCATCAAAACCTCCAAAACAAACAAATATAATGAGATCAAAAGAGTGGTGATTTGGGAAGAAACCCAGAAGTATGATATATCCCATTGCCTTGTGGTCTTTTTATCTCTAACCTTCGAGAAATAACCATGATAAAGCCTATCTTTTGATATAAGAAATCAAAACTAGCTGGGAACCGGTGGTTCACACCTGTAATCCTAGCTACTCAGGAGGCTGAGATTGGAGGACCGTGGTTCAAAGCCAGACTGGGCAGTAAAATCTGTGAGACTCTTATCTCCAATTAACCACCAGAAAACCACAAGTAGAGCTGTGGCTCAAAGTGGTCTTAGCTAAGAGCTCAGGGACAGTACAGAGGCCCTGCCCAGTTCAAGCACCATGACCAAAAAAAAAAAAAATCAAACTAATGTACAAACTCAGAACTAATATTACCTGCTAGTCTCATGAGCTGAGATCCAGCTTATATATGTTAATGGGGGATGAGGAATGTTTCTTCACATTCTTGATGTTTCTGTTTAAGGAATTTCACTAGCAAAAACCGTCTTTACTCATTCAGTCATTACTCCTATCCAAGAAAAGGCACATGTTTTTCCACGCCATAGGCTTTATGAGGGCAGATGCCCATATAATGAAACCTGTAGTAGTAATTCAGCATTTAATGTTAGGTCTGTTTAATTCTGAGTGTCAGTAGTAAAAAGCCCATTTCATGATGAATATAAGCCATATTCTCCAATATTAGTAATTAAATTGACATGTTGGCTTCCTACACATTGCATTCCTTCTTGTGTATTGCTTAATTAGTTTAAACCACCAGATGAAGAAAAGAGCTTTTGACTGATGTTCTAAAACAGCCTATCACTCTTTACTCTATGACTCCCAAGTTCACATCTGAAATCACCATTAATAAAATGTTGAACTCTTACTATAATGCCCTATACACAGCAAATACTTAATGTTTATGAAACTGATTTGCATGCATATCCAATGTCTTAAAATGTAAAATTTACCTACCCTATGTTGAAAAAATGACGGATCAAGATATTTGTCAAATCGATCTTCAAATTTTACATCTGACTTTTTCCATTTTACCTAAAAAATATAAATTTCACTTGAAAACCAAGACTAGTAAACAAGTTATTAAGTTGATGACAAAGCTCAAAGTAAAATTTGAAAATATTTACAGTATTTACACACTTAAAACAGAAAAACCAGGTTCACGACTGTTATCTTAAATACTCAGGAGGCTGAAATCCAAGGATCCTAGCCTGGGCAGAAAGTCCATGAGCCTCTTATCTCCAATAAACTATCCCTCCCAAAAAGCCAAAAGTGAAGTTCTGCTTCCAATGTTAGAGCACTAGCATTAAACAAAATAAGCTCAGGGACAGCACCTGGGCGTTGAGTTTAAGCCCTGGGGTGTGGGGGCAATGGGGAAGAATCTTTTTTTTGTCGGTTGTAGGGCTTGAACTCTGGGCCTGAGCGCTGTCCCTCAGCTCTTCAGCTCAAGGCGAGCACTCTACCAATTGAGCTATACAGCGCCACTTCCAGTTTTCTGGTGGTTTATTGGAGGTAAAAGTTTCACGGACTTTCCTGCCCGAGCTAGCTTTGAACTGTGATCCTCAGATCTCAGCCTCCTGAGTAGCTAGGATTGCAGGCATGAGTCACCGGCGCCCGGCTGGGAAGAATCTTAAATGATGAAACAATATTGCCAGTATGAAAAGTTTAAACAGGTATAAGAAGACTAATGAACTTTCTTAAATTTCTTCTCCGTGTATAAACAAAAGTCACACCTTTCTTTAGAGGGATCATTTTGTTTTCAAAGACTATTTACTATTGTGGCCTTGCATACTCTGACTTGATAAATGTGTTGAGTATTAAACCACAAGTGTTTAAACCAACTAAAATAAAAACCTTAGACATCTTTATCTTTGTTTATTGGGTTTTTTTAATGTCATCCTGGGGCCTAAAACTCAGCACCTGGTGCTGTCCCTGAGTTTTGTTTTTTTTTTTGCTCAAGGCTAGCACTCTACCACCTGAACCACAGCTCTACTTTCAGGCTTTCTGATGGTTAATTGTAGATAAGAGTCTCAAGGACTTTCCTGCCAGGCTGACTTTAATACATAATACTTACATCTCAGGCTCTTGAGTAGCTAGAATTACAGTAAGAGCCACCAGTGCCCAGAATCTTTAGATTGCATTACTTTTATTACAACTACAAAATTTCTCCATAAGCACAAAAATTATGCCAATATTATTTATCTACTATGCACAAAGCTTGAAAAACTCTCAAAATTAACTGACTCCTGGAAAGTGAAAAGTTACCTATATTGGATTTTTCTCTCTCTTTCCCATCATTTTTAAGCCTAATAAAACAATTAACTTGACAGTTGCTAAAGGGTTCTGATGAGCTCTTACTCTGCAGGAATAATGATTCCAATAGATCAAATTAACCAAGGTAAACTATACCTATCCAGCAACCTTTTCTATAGTTCTATTTCTATTTGCAATGATAAATGAGAGAATCATGAACTACTACAACATAAAAATATAACCATATAAATTAACCTGGCTGGGTTAGAACTGCTCAGTGACTTTACTAGAGTAAATGGTAAATAGTATGTCCAACAAATGCACAACTGGTATCTCATACTATGTAGACCTGAAGTTTATCTGTCCCATTTTTAGGAGGCTTACATTGAGAAAAGTTTTAATATTATGCTGTTGCATCCAATTTTAAGCCACATGTTCATTTACTAAGCTCAAAAACAATCGCAAATAGTTCTTCCTATCATAGTTCTTCCTACATACAAGTATTCTAACACTGAAAATAGTTCTTCCTACATACAAGTATTCTAACACTTACTGAATATGACATCTGTATTTTTGTATTTGGAACCAGTTTCACCTTCCCTTCACTAGTTAAATTAACATCAACAATTCGATTTCCATTAAAACCAATTTCAAGTTTTTTGTAGGTCCAGAGATAATAATCTTCTCCATTTTCATCTGCTTCACCAACAATACCTACAAAAGAAAAAATACTTTATACAAAGTAGTACCATTTAGTATCTAAACATCCCAGAAGTTGAATTTCTTTTTTTTTCTTTTAATAAGGTTTTTTTTATTGTGAAAATACCATATAGAGGGGTTACAATTACATGAGCAAGGTAATGAGTACATTTCTTATCAAGCATTGTTGCCTCCTTCTTTTTTTTAATTTTTATTTATTTTTTATTGTGAAAATACTGTACAGAGGGGTTACAATTATATGGGCAAGATAATGAGTACATTTCTTATCAAGCATTGTAGCCTCCTCCTTTGTTTCCCCTTCCCATCCTCCTCCGCCCCCCACCCAATTCTCTCCGCGCCCCCCCCCCCCACCAAAGTTGTAAAGTTCGTTTTCGACATAACGACTTGTACTTCTCATTGTTGCAACGGGTCCACCTGTATCCTTATTTAAACGACTTGTTTTTCCCCTTCCCCTCCACAAATTATACCAACATCAAATACAGTGAAAGCAGGGGTTATACTATGGGGGAGGAAGAGAAGTTGTATTTCTTTTACATAAATAAAACCAATAATAATATTACTACCTCCATGAGTAGAATAAAGCAAATTTGTAAGCTCAGCTTCTATTTAGCAACACACACCACAGTCATACCATGACTACTTGAGTAGTTCAGCATAACTACACACTAACTTGATCCCAAAGTTCATGTTTTCTCATTACTATTACTTTCTTTGAAATAATTACCACCTATATGTATAAACTCCCTAACATCTCAAATTTCAGGGGAGTGCTTTGTCAACATCTTTCAAGGTTACTGAACTACCAATGATCAAACTAAACTAAAATCAAGTTTTCTCGAGGTCTTTCGAGTTATTATTTCTCTTAACAACCTATGTTCTAGCCAATCCTAGAAAGATGTTATATGTAGATACAAACATACACTCTGTGTGTGTGTTTATTTGAAGTTTAAAATGCCTACTCTTCATACCTCAAGTACTACATCTGCCTCTGGAAGTCATCAAAATGAAAGGACTGTTGCAGATAAATGGTAATGAGGCAATATTTTTAAATGATTATTTTGATCCTAATTTTGGAATCAGAAGGCAAGATGTGAACAATGTGAGATGGTAATTGGTAGCTGAGGATTCTTATGCCTTCAAATGGTCAGCTATTTGTCAAATGTTCCCCATTCAAATCTATAAACTTCCCAAAGCTTTAAACTGTCAGGACATCCCTCTATGGTCAATGCATCCCAGTGAAGTATCAGGGAAAAAATATGTTAATTTTTTACAAAGGATTATTTGCTTATTAAGCAAGGTGATTCTTACTAATTGGTACAAACTGAAGAAGATAGCTTTATTATGTTTAGAAATAAAGATAATGAAATTCTTCTAATAATTAGCTTCACTAAGATTGAAAACCACAATTATACCAAAATGAGAAGCTTTTCTCTAAGAGGCTTTAGAAAGATTCTAAAAGCTTTGCCCCAAGAAAAGTCAGATTGGAATTTTCTTTTTTTTTTTGTCAGTCATGGGGCCTGAACTTTGGGCCTGGGCTGTCCCTCAGCTCTTCAGCTGTAGACTAGAGCTCTACCACTTGAGCCTCGGCCATACTTCTTCTGGCTTTTTCTGTTTATGTGGTGCTGAAGAATCGAACCCAGGGCCTCATGCATGCAAGGCAAGCACTCTACCATTGAGCCACCTTCTCAGCCCCAGATTGGAATTTTCTTTCTGAAAGATTCTCTTTGGTTTAAACATTCCATAATATTCAAAAGTATCTCCTAAACATGGCAGACCCTGAAATCCAAGGCTAAAAAAATAACATTTTAAGTTAAGATCCAATATCACTGTCATTAAAGAGGCACATAACAATGACTAGGACAACATAAAGCAAAACAAAAACAAACAAAAATCACACAACTATACATCTAGATAAGAAACTAAAGAAGGGAAGAACCTTTGTCTCACTGAAAATGAACTTTATGCCAGGTGCTAATGTCTCTCACCTGTAATCCTAGCTGCTCAGGAGAGTGATCTTGAGGATCATGGTTCAAAGCCAGCCCAGGCAAGAAAGTCCATGGGACTCTTATTTCCAATAAACTACCTCAAAAAACCAGAAGTGGAGCTGTGGCTCAAGCGGTAGAGCACTATGCATGAGCGAAAGAAACTCAGGGACAGCACCCAGGTCCTGAGTTCAAACCCCAGGAAAAGTGCAAAAATATTTTTTTTTAATGAAGTTTAGCCTAATGGGTTCTTTTGAACTACAAGCAGAAATACAAGATCAGGAAGCTCTAGTGAATATTTAGCACATCCTTCTGATACCAAATGCCTAGGTTACTGTGCCACTAATTGCAATCATTTATAGAAATGCTCACAATACATATCTAATTGACAGATAACATAGTAATAATGATACATAAAATTATTTCTTGGAATTAACTTTCTTATAAATTTTTCCTTAGTGTGGTAGCAAACTATTATGTTCAATTCATAGTCTGATGTCCTGAACTTATAGTCACCTAACAGCTTTAAGAATTAGAAAAGCATTAATTACATATAGAAAAGCATCCGAAGACAAAAAATATAAAATGATCAAACACGATGAGTGAGACAGCTGTTTATGTTTTACATTTTAAATAATTTAATCAAGTCAACTGATTTTTGGATTATACATAAGTCTTTATTAATTGTGCATGTATTTCCCCATTAGTATAGGTAAACAAGAGTAAAACTTTTGTGTGTCTGTGCCAGTACTAATGTTTAAACTCAGGGCTTAATCATCTTGCTCAGCTTTTTCAATATTTTGCTAACAGCTGGTGCTATACTATCACCTGCGCTGCACCTCTAGTTACACAAAAATATAATATTGCCAGGTGCCAGTGACTGTCACCTGTAATCCTACCTACATGGGAGGGTGAGATCTGGGGATCATGGTTCAAAGCCAGCCCAGGCAGGAAAGCCTATGAAAATCTTATTTCCAATTAAAATCTAATTTCCAAAAAAAGCCAGAAATAGAGCTGTGGCTAGAGGACAAAAGCTCAGTGACAGTGTCCAGGCCCTGAGATCAATACCACTACAGCACAAAAAATAAAAACAAAAATAAAAATAAAAAATTTAGGGGCTGGAAGGTGGCTCAGTGGTAGAGCGCTTGCCTTGCATGCATGAGGCCCTGGGTTCGATTCCTCAGCACCACATAAGCGAAAAGAAAAAAGCCGGAAGTGGTGCTGTGGCTCAAGTGGTAGAGCGGTAGCCTTGAGCTGAAGAGCTGAGGGACAGCGCCCAAGCCCAGAATTCAGGCCCCACGACTGGACCCAAAAATAAATAAATAAATAAAATTTAAATAGTAAGCTTCAGAAAATAACACTGGAACCAGAATAACAAGCTATTCAAGAACCTACGATCTCAAACTACTGATAAAGCTGAGATATGAGGATTATGGTTCCACTTAGCCAGCCAAAAGCTGGAGGTGTGACACCTGTGGTAGAATGCCAGGTTTGAGCAAAAAGGTGAGCAAGAAGCCCTGAGTAAGAAGCTTCAGGGGCTGGGAAGGTGGCTCAGTGGTAGAGCGCTTGCCTTGCATGCCGAGGCCCTGGGTTCGATTCCTCAGTACCACATAAGAAAAAAGAAAAAAGCCAGAAGTGGCACTGTGGCTCAAGTGGTAGAGCGCTAGCCTTGAGCTTAAGAGCTGAGGGACAGCTCCCAGGCCCAGAGTTCAGGCCCCACGACCAGACCCCCCCCCCAAAAAAAAGAAGCTTCAGTACTAGAACAAAAAAAAAGGGGGGGGGGGGAGAAGAAAAAGAAACCATCATACCCAAAACCACACTACCACAGTGACATGTGAAAGTTAACATTTTGGAGGTGGCACTGTGGCTCAAAGTGATAGAGTGCTAGCCTTGAGCAAAAGAGCTCAGGAACAGCATAAAAGCCCCAAGTTCAAACCCCAAATAAATAACCCCCCCCAAATAAAATAAAATGTTATTTTATCTTAAAATAACAATAAAATATATTTTTTAAAAAAGAGCACATTTATTTTGGGCTGGACACCAGTAGCTCATGACTGTCATCCTAGCTACTCAGGAGGATGAGAACTGAAGATCACAGTTCAAAGCCAGCCCAGGCAGGAAAGTCTATGAGACTCTTGTCTCCAATCAACCACCAGAAAACTAGAAGTGGAACTGTAGTGTAAAGTGGTAGAGTACTAGCCTGGAGCAAAAAAGCTCAGAACAGTGCTCGGGCCCTAAGTTCAAGACTCCTCCCCCCCCCCCCCAAAAGTTCAAACTTCAATATGCTATATTTGAAAGAACAAGTTAAAATAAGGTATAAGAAAAACATGGGCAGAAAGATATCTCAGATTGTTTTAATTCCTTGAATCTAAAAAGTTATATTGGGCTGGGAAGGTGGCTCAGTGGTAGAGTGGCGTTGCAGGCATGAGGTCCTCACCATCTTTAATCAAATAAATGCCACCCCTTCTAGTAGACATTGGTACTTTAAGATATAGCCAGGGCTGAGAATATGGCCCAGTTGTAGAGTGCTTGCCTAGCATGCATGAAGCTTTGGGTTCAGTTCCTCAGCACCATATAAACAGAAAATGCTGGAAGTGGTGCTGTGGCTCAAGTGGTAGAGCACTAGCCTTGAGCTGAAGAACAGCACTCAGGCCCAGAATTCAGGCCCCACACGACCAATGGACAAAAAAATAAATAATAAATAAAATTTACACTATATAAAAGTTCTACTTTGAAGGAGTTTCATGTAAAGTTTAGCAATATGAAAAATGCTTTAAGAAACAGGTATCCTTAAAAAATGGTTTTTAAAATCATACTGTGGAAAATAGTGAAAACATATTAACGTCATGATCCAGTATACCATCACTGTAACAAACATCATGTTTACCAAACCATATATATAACATATAATATTCACTTACCCCATATTGGTAAGTCATCTATGTACATCTGGTACCAGTAGTGATTTTTGATAGCATAAACAAATGCATCTCTTTTTTCCTTATCTAAATCAATTTCACAGTAAGTGGCTGGCATCACATCATCTATATAAAATAAAAACGCAGTTTAGCTCATAGGTTTGCAGAAACAAGAAAAAAGCCAACATTTTCTGAAATTAAAATTTCTATTCATAACAATTAAATCTGGCCAGGCACTAGCAGCTCATGACTGTAATCCTAGATACTTAGGAGTATGTGAGACTCTTATCTCCAATTACTCACCCAAGTGGTAGAACACTAGCCTTGAGCACAAAAAGCTCAGGGACAGCACCAGGCCCTAAATTTAAGCTCTAGAACCAGCAGCAGCACTCCTTCCCCCGCCTCCCCCACAAAAAGCCAAGCCAATATACATTATGTAAACACTTGAACTATGTGACCTGAGGGTAGGGATAGAATGGGGAAAATAGGGGAGACAGCTGGAAGGGGTGATTTTTGATCAAGAAGCAATATACTCATGGAACTGTAACCCTTTGGCACAACTACTTAATAAGTAAAGATTAATAAACAAGTGAATAACCCAGAAGTTCCCTAAGATGAGTCATTTTCACTTGACTGCTTTCAAAAACTAGTATAACTGTTCAATGTTCCCTAATTTATACACCTAATGCTTCAAATATGTGCTTATGTTTCAAACAAAAGACTATCCCAAAGACTATCCTAACAATTTGCAAATACTCTAGATATTAATCAAAAGAATTATAAACTTTTGATATGTTACTTAAGCAAATCAATCATAACAATAAAAAAGAAAGCACAGACTTTTGTTTTCTTACATGCTGGTTATTTTGACTCTAAAATGCAATTTTTCCCAAAGAAGTATTAAACTTTTTAAATACTAATTAAAATTTCTTAAATATAAACTATAGCTAAATCATAAATTTAATAGTTACTTAATAGCTTTATTTTGTGCCAGTACTGGGTCTGAACTCATATACTTGCTCTCATTTGTCTTTTTCGCTCAAGACTGGTGCTCTACCCCTTGAGCCACAACCCTACTTCCAGCTTTTTGGTAGCTAACTGAACGTAAGAATTTCCCAAACTTCTCTGCCCATGGTTGGCTTTGAACCAATATCCCCAGATCACAGTCTCCTGAGTAATAGCCATAGCATTATTCCTATAAAAAATCAAAATCTAAGTTATAATTCCACATTCTACAACATACACTCCATCCCTTGGGAGAAGGAAAACAGATTTCCCATAAGTCAGCAAAGAATGCATATCACCAAAAAGAAGGAGGACAGGGAAATACTCATCTTACTCATCTTAAAGAAATGTCAACATAAACAAGTGAAGTTTTTTAGCAGAAGAAAATGAAGAAAACAGCTTTGTCTACCAACAGTGACTCTCAAGCAGATTTTCTTTCAGTCCCTTGGGGGAATTTAGGACTTTCTTAATGGGAAAAACTGAGGCTGAACAGTGAAACAAGAGTTAGGAAATGAGATTGCTAATAAGCATTTCTACACCAAGAGCTATAGAAGAACTGTCAATAAAAAGTCCCCAAAAAAGACTTCCGTTGAGTAATAATGTACCAAGGGAAACATCAGCTTTAAGTGGACAGTCTCAGAGGGCAACAGGAACACCCCACAGCTATCTCTGGATTCCTTGTTATTAATAAAAAGAAATGTTGATAATGGTCCTTAACATGACACTTACGTGTACAAAGCTTTTAAAAGATGCTGCATAGCCTGTACTCTAGTTTGACAGTTTCTCAATAGATCTAATATCTTCAGTCTGTTCTCTCTAACCCAACTCAACTACCTGAAACTCCTACACATCCTATGCTCTCTTGGCCTCTGGACATTTTTGCTCAGGTTGTTAACTCTGCCTGAAAGTTCTCTCAGTTTTTCCTATCCCCAGACCCTCTCTCCTATAGAGCAGTCCCTGATTCACCAACCCACAGTGTTGTCCCTTTCTTTTAAGTCCCATGGCTTTCTCTCCAGGCTCCCTATGCCATGTATGCCTGAACCACTCTACCTCAGACCAGTATCTGAGCTCCTGAGAAAACACCATATGGCCTTGAAAATTATATTCTTTTTACCATCAGCTATGCTTGCTTAGTACCCTACATTGTAGTACCTATACTACAAATAAAAAACTTTAATTTTCCACTTATTTGGCAAAGAAAAATTATTGTTTATTATAGTATAGTAAGTACATACACATGCATTTGTGTAGCAGTATGTGCATGAGTGCACATGTGCAGATAAAGAAATGTCAACATAAACAAGTGAAGTTTTTTAGCAGAATCTCTCAGAAGAAAATGACAAAAGAGGTCTTGAAGGCTATCTTTCCCTGATCATAAAATCTAAAATAAAATGTAGCAAAAGGGAAAAGCATCATGACAGGCTGTAGAAAGGACATTGGTTGGCTGCATTTTAATGAGATTCCTTTTCAGGCATGTAGGCAAATACAAAAAAGCCTGCTTGCCCAACCGAAACATTACTTCTCTCAGGAGGTTACTGCTTTGAAGATAACTAATACAATGTGTATGAATATGTCAAATCATTAGCAGTAGGCCATGTATCAGGAAAACAATTTGCAAATCTATCATGAGAAATCACTGCTTCAAAATTACAATTGGGTATCATTTTCACATAAAAGACATATATGAACTCTGGAAAAGATGCAATTAACATTTTACCAATGTAAACAGTTTTAAAGCAGAATGGTGAAGTGGTAAATGTTAGTATGTATTTTACAAACAGAAGGGAAGATTTGGTCATATTCCAGAAACCAATACATCTGTCATCAATTCCCAGTAATGCCACACTAGTATGACAGGCACTGAGCAATGAGAAAAGGCTGTAGTAATAGTTAGGAGTTGTCTAAGAATGTATCAAGTCATCCTGCTTTGCTTACCTTCTCTTTTGACAGCATCACTAAATTGACAATCAGAATGTCTCCATCTCAAATTCAACAGTATTTGACAGTCACAATAACTAGTCATATTTATAAAGAAATGGACACAAATGAATTTTAGTCTGAGCTATGCTACTTGCTAACTAAGCAATTAAAGGCAAGTCATTTAACTTCTGTGAACTGCAGTTCCTTCAAGTGTGAACCAAAACAACTGTGCTAATTCTTTCCCAGAGCTGGTTTAAGAACTGAAAGTGCCAATGTATTGACAATGTTCTTAAATGTCCCTGTCTTGATCGTTCTTTGAGAATCTGATGAAAGTCACATTTCCCTTGCTCTCAACTGCAGATTCATATAAAATTAAGTGTATAATTTCAGAGTCAATAGAACCCAAGTCACAGCTCCTGGCTGAATTTTATATTTCCAGAGCTTACCACAATGCTGGATTGCAATTATGCATTCAGCAACTGCCAAATTAATTCAAGGAAAACAAAGACTAGAAAAACTGGTATAGTCGGAGTTAATTTTAAAACTATATAAAAGAGTATTGATTAATAATCAATGGTATAAGCTATGCAACTTTTTTTAGATTTAGATTTTTAGATTTTTTTAGGTTTGGTAAGATGTATTAAGAACAGGCTTAAAAATGTTACCTTTTTTTTTTTTTTTTTTTGGTCTGTTGTGGGGCTTGAACTCTGGGCCTGGGCGCTGTCCCTCAGCTCTTCAGCTCAAGGCGAGCGCTCTACCACTTGAGCTACAGTGCCACTTCCGGTTTTCTGGTGGTTTATTGGAGATAGGGGTCTCACAATCTTTCCTGCCCGGGCTGGCTTTGAACCGCGATCCTCAGATCTCAGCCTCCTGAGTAGCTAGGATTACAGACGTGAGCCACCAGCGCCCGGCTTGTTACTTGCTTTTATAATTTGTGCAAAATACAATTTGAATTTGATTTAGTAATTCCCAGAATTTATAGGAATGAGAGATTCAGAGGTATACTAAAATATTAGGTGTAAGGGTAGCCAAATGTTTTCTTTTTCTTTTTTTTGGGGGGGGGGGGTAGGGGAGGGAGGGCGCCAGACTGGGGCTTGAACCCCATACCCCATCAGAGCCTAGGCGCTATCCTTGAGCTATGGTAATTTCTAATAGCAAAATAAAAAAAAGGAAAAGAGGAAGGAAGGAGAAAGCAAAATATCTCAAGAGTGTGTGAATGGAGAAAAATGACAGTATTCAAGTTAAAAAATACTATGTACTTTTCGAAGGGGAATGATGTAAGGAGTAAGTCATAAAATGTTAAGAGAAAAAAGTTAGGACAAACACTATACATAAATAAGTTAAGAAATGCTTAGAACACTGGCACATAATAAGTACATAATAATAGATTAAACTTCTTTTTCAAAAATCATATAATATGGAATATTGAACTGGAGGCACAACTCAAGTAGTAGAGCACAGTTGCAAATGAAAAAGCTGACAAAGAATAGAAGGCCCTGAGTTTAAGCTCCAGTACTGGCACAAAACAAACAAGATTAAGAAGAAAAATGTTAATGACTGGACTTTCATGTATTTTAGAACAATGTGGATGAATGCAAAGAACACAGAAAGGAAGGAAAAAATTGAAGAAAATATACTAAAATGCTAATAGTACTTATATCCAAGTGATATTTATATTTTTTGTACCTTCTAAATTTTATACAGTGAAGCTATATCACTGTTAAAAATCAGAAAGAAAAAAAGTATGCATTTCTTTGAAAACTAACAAAAAGTTTTCAATCAGGAGGAAAACAATGGTAGGAGTGGCACAAATAAGGACAGAAAAAAAATACTTATCAAACTGGTTGGCATGTGTTAAAATAATCATAACTAAAAGTGTGCAAAAATACAAAAATCAGCCAGGCGCTGGTGGCTCATGCTTGTAATCCTAGCTACTCAGGAGGCTGAGATCTGAGGATCGCAGCTTAAAGCCAGCCCAGGCAGGAGACTCCTATCTCCAATAAACCACCAGAAAACCAGAAGTGGCGCTGTAGCTCAAGTGGTAGAGTGCTCGCCTTGAGCTGAAGAGCTGAGGGACAGCGCCCAGGCCCAGAGTTCAAGCCCCACGACCGACCAAAAAAAAAAATACAAAAATCAAAAAAATTATTTCGTCTGGCTAAGAGACTTGGGGTTAAAACCAAGATAAAATATTCTATTACATTCCTATACTTCCAATTTAACAAAACAGATTTTAGCAAAAATATTTCTTCTCTCACCTAAAACTTACTTAAAGTCAGTAAAGAATTAAATCAGGGACTGGGACTATTGCTCAGTGGTAGAGTGCTTGCTTGGCATGCATGAAGCTCTGGGTTCCCTTCCTCAGTACCACATACACAGTAAAAGCAGGAAGTGATGTTGTGGCTCAAGTGGTAGAGCACTAGCCTTGAGCCAAAAAAAGCTCAGAGACACTGCCCAGGTCCTGAATTTCAAGCCAACAGGCGATAGGTAGAAAGATAGATAGATAGATAGATAGATAGATAGATAGATAGATAGATAGATAGGTAGGTAGGTAGGTAGGTAGGTAGGTAGGTAGGTAGGTAGGTAGGTAGGTAGATAGGTAGATAGGTAGATAGGTAGATAGGTAGATAGGTAGATAGATAGGTAGGTAGATAGGTAGGTAGATAGGTAGGTAGATAGGTAGGTAGATAGATAGATAGGTAGATAGATAGATAGATAGATAGATAGATAGATAGATAGATAGACAGACAGACAGACAGACAGACAGACAGACAGACAGACAGACAGACAGACAGACAGACAGACAGACAGACAGACAGACAGAAAAGATGGGACAAAAACTAGATCAGTCAATGGAGAAGAGATCTCCATTTTTTTTTAATTGATTTGTACTAGCATTTGAACTCAAGCTCAAGGCTTCAGGCTTCCGAGGCAGGTGTTCTACCACTTGAGCCAATGCTCCCTGACCTTTCCCTTCTGTATTTTTAGTGATTTTTCAGGTAAAGACTCATGGTCAAACCCTAGGAACAGCACCAAGTAGCAATCAAAAACACTTTTCAAAGCATAATCAACTTTATCCTTGAAGAGAGCAGCAAAAGTCTCCAGTAGAAGAGAAAGAACCATCTAATCAGCATTTACTATTTTACCTGGACCACTTAATTCAGCAATTGTTTTTAGCAGTATATCCATGCTGAAGGTATAGAGTTAATAAGTCTCCAAAGAACCACTTAACTACCTAGCTAGTTCCTCTTTCAATCTAAAGATCTGTAGCTTAGTCTGAAAAGAAATACAAATTCCCTCCTTTTTCACTTTTTAACCATGTACACTGTGATTTTTTTAATGAGATAGGATGTAACACAGACAGAGACCAGGGGCACACATCGAATATGACAAAGTGCCCCTTTTTTTTTTGCCAGTCATGGGGCTTGAACTCAGGGCATGGGCTCTGTCACAGAGCTCTTCTGCTCAAGGCTAGCAACTCTACCACTTTGAGTCACAGCTCCATTTCCAGTTTTCTGGTGATTAACTGGTGACAAGAGTCTCATGGACTTTCCTGCCTGGGCTAGCTTTGAATTGTAATCCTCAAAACTCAGCATTCTAAGTAGTAAGGATTACAGGCATGAGCCACCAGCACCTAGCATTAAGTCCTACTTTTTTGAACTACTTTCCTCTAGATTTAACAATTTCTTCATCTCAGCCTCAAGTAACTAACAAGGGTAAAGGTTAAACATTCTCACTAGGCATAGGTGGCTCACATCTGTAATTCTAGCTACTCAAGAGGCTGAGATTTGAGGATCTCAGTTCAAAGACAGCCTGGGCAGGAAAGGTCATGAGACTCTTAGCTCCACTAATCTATTCAGAAAAAGGCAGAAGTGGCACTGTAGCTCAAGTAGTAGAGTGCTAATAACCCTGAGCAAAAAAAAAAAAGCTCGAGGACAACACCCAGGCCCCAAGTTCAGCCCCAGGACTGGCAAAATAAATAAATAAATAGATAGATAAATATTCTGAATAAGTACTCTTCTTCAGAAAATAGCAGTGAGGATTTCAAAATCTGATGCAGCCTTAGTAGGACTTGGGGTTTTCTGCTTACTCTTTTGGTGATTGTTCTTTAACTACAATTTTCAACCAAATGCAAAGGAGAAAGTAGGTGAATAAATAGTTTAAGTAAATAAATACTAATTTAAGTTTCTTCTTTGTGATTAAATATTTCAATTACCTTATTAAATTAAAGCCCAAGCTTCAGGGCATATTTACAGTAACTAATAAAATTATAGGCCACATAACTTGTGGTTTAAATTTACAACTTAACTTCATAATTAAGTCCCAAGGGACATTATTAGAAGGACTATATGTGCATGCATGTATGTGTGTATATGCTTATGTAGACCCATTTTCAAAAACAATAGCAAAAAAAACTTTAAAAATATAATTAAACAATTCAAATTTAATATTGTTAATTATATCTCATTTCAAATCCTTGTCTCCAAAATATACTTAAAAAAAAATCAAAGACAATTACTAATTCATATTACACAATGAAGTAAACACTGGAGTAAACAACTTTACTAAAATCTATACAATAAAATAGGACTGAAATTTAGAATTTGACTATAAAATCCATGCTCTTTTCAGTAAACAAGACATATAAGCAAAGATCCTGTAAAGCCTATAAAAACAGAACAGTGAAACTTGTTGAAACTTTTTTGAGAAAGAAGAATAATAGGGGAAGAATGATGGAGAGGGTGAGTTTACTTAGAGTACATTATAAATGTGTGAAAATATAACATAATGAAATCCATCCCTATTACTAATGTAAGTAAGGTACTCAAAATTTTCAGTTTCTCAAACTTTAGCTCATGGTACATACTGAAAATATCTATGCAGGAAATATACACTGACACACTTCCCTGAGGAACATAAAAAGTATACACACATTCACAAAACCTGTTAAGATTCAATTATAAACAGATAAGAATTCTCTCTTCACATTTGACAAGATATTTAAATACATATTTTATATATTTATATTTAATATATTGATACATTTAATAAATATATATTAAATATATAGTTGTTAAGAGGGTAAATTGATACAGTATTGATAAATACATGCCAAATCCAATGGTACAAATCTGAATTTGATTTACATAGTTAAAATGTAAACATACAGCCCATTACAATTCCAGAAATGACTTCACCAGGAATCTATGAAGGCTCTCCTGTCCACATGTATAATCAACTACAGAGTTAACTAGAAAACACTTCTCAGATATAGTTTAGATAACTTTATTAAAAATTTGCTTTGTTAACACCCTACAAAAAAAATTCCAGGCCTCAATGTCAATAGTGTGAAGTTACAAAAACCTAGCCTATAATCTATTACTTATGTAATAGACTGTAGAGACTATTAAGACAGACTTACCTTTAAATTTAATATCCAGACCACTAAATTCCAACTCCACTCCTTGAAGTGCTTCTCCTAGAGTTTCATGGTAATGGCTGATACTTTTTTTTGACCCAACACAGAATGGAAGTGAAAAGTACTTATATGTTTCTTGGCGATTATGGTAAGGCCCAACAGTATTCATCCACAAGACAACTTCCTCTTTATCTTGATACTGAAACAAAAAAGGCAAATAATATGTACTTTTTAATTAACTCAAATAAGAGAATATTTATTATCTATTCAAAATAAAGGTGTATTTTCTGTGCTCAAGAAATATAAGCTAGCAGGGTACTGGTGGCTCATGCCAGTAATCCTTACTATTCAGGAGGCTAAGATCTGAGGATGGGAGTTCAAAGCCATGAGATTCTTAACTCCAATAAACCATCAAAAAGCCAGAGGTGGTAACTAGCCTTGAGCAAAGCACCTCAGGGGCGCACACACACAGACACACACAGACACACACAGACACAGACACACACACACACACACAGAGACACACACAGACACAGACACACACACACACACAAAATATCTAGGGGCTGGGAATGTGGCTCAGTGGTAGAGCGCCTGCCTAGCATTCACGAAGCCCTGGTTTCAATTCCTCAGTACCACATAAACAGAAAAAGCCAGAAGTGGTGCTATGGCTCAAGTTGTAGAGTATTAGCCTTGAGCCAAAAGAAGCACCAAAGCTCATAGATGGACCATGGGGGGGGCGGGGGGGGGGGGGGGGAGAAGGAATATATATGTGTGTGTGTGTGTGTGTTTGTATTTGCATTCTGATAATCTATGTCCACACCTTAAAATCAAACTTTGTGAATTTTTAAATTATATTCTGATTCTGGTCTCAGGATTCACTTTTTCTTTTTGTAACCAAAGCTCAGGGCCTGGACTATCCCTGAACTCTTTGCTCAAGGCTACCACTTGAATCAGAGCAGCACTTCAGGTTTTCCTGTAGTTAATTGGAAATAAGAGATAGCTGGGATTATAACATGAGCCACCAGTGCCCAGTATGATTGCGGTTTTTCTAAATGTTAATTTATAGAAAATAACATCTAAAAAAATAGCTCATAATAATATGTTCCTAATTCACATTAATATTATTAATACAGATAAACAGTAAGTGGTAAAAATGCAAAATCAATGTAATTCAACAGGCTAACAGAGACAAGGAAAGAAACAAAACCAACAACTAAAGGGCACCAGTAGCTCACGCCTGTAATCCTAGCAACTCAGGAGGCTGAGATCTGAGGATCACAGTTCAAAGTCAGCTCAGGCAGGAAAATACATGAGACTCTTTTCTTTTTTTTTTTTTTTTTGGTCCAGTCGTGGGGCCTGAACTCTGTGCTTGGGCGCTGTCCCTCAGCTCTTCAGCTCAAGGCTAGCGCTCTACCACTTGAGCCACAGAGCCACTTCCAGCTTTTTTCTTTTTGCTCATGTGGTGCTGAGGAATCAAACCCAGGGCCTCATGCATGCAAGGCAAGCGCTCTACCACTGAGCCACCTTCCCAGCCCCTACATTATCTCCAATAAACCACCAGAAAACCGTAAGTGGCGCTGTAGCTCAAGTGGTAGAGCACTAGCCTTGAGCTGAAGAGCCAGTGCCCAGGCCCAGAGTTCAAGCCCCATGACCAACAAAAACAAAAAACACAAAAAATGTCTTATCCAGATGGTAATTGTTAGATACCTTCCCCTCTAAGAAACTAACATTGCCAGGATACATAAGTAAAATCCCCTCTACCTTCTAGTTACTGCATAGCCACTGGTTCAAAGTACTAGATATGAAAAAAATGACTAGAAGAACAAAGAAAAAACATATATACTATGAAACTACCATAAGCCCATTCAAGCCAAAATTCCATGTGTTATCAGATAGTATGTATTATATACAATTATTGAATAATTTATGGCTCTACCTATCAGTGAATACTGCATATAGATATATACGAACTGTTGTTCAATGACTTAAATAGCTGACTTCACCTTTTCACAGTCCAAGTGTAGACTCTGTCAAAGATTTCTAAGATCTTCACAAGTTTAAAATCCTAAATGATTCTATGAAAACCAATTACTTAGGCTAATTTTAAAACTAGAAATTCTACTTGGTAATATTAACTGAAGACATCCAAGGATACATTTAAATCAAGCAGTAGTGCAGAAGTTAATCTACTGAACCATTATTTGCTAAGTGCCAACAACTATTTTTATAACAGAAGATTCTGCTTTGAACAAGACGTACTGGAGCTGGACTCCAGCAGCTCATGCCTATAATCCTAGCTACTCAGGAGGCTGGATTTGAGGACTGCAATTCAAAGTGAACCCAGGCAAGAAAGTTGAAGAGACTCCAATTAAACTACTTAAAAAAAAAAAAAAAGCCAGAAGTAGAGCTGTGGCTAATGTAGACGAGTGCCACCCTTGAGCAAAAGAAGCTCAGAGATAGTATCTAGACCCTGATTTCAAGCTGCAGGACCAGCACCAAATAAATAAAGCTTTTCGAAGTACTGATCGCTCAAGGGAAGATGTACACTGAATAAGTTAAAGCAGGCTGCTACAAAGCATGAAAAAGGAAGCTACCAACTAATCCACATAAATCTTTAACTCTAGTCTTCTAACTGGAACTAATCATTAACATTTTCAACCAAAACTTATCAAATACCACCACAACTTAGATCTGTCTTTTTATCCTCAAACATAATATCTCATTGTTTATATAAGACATTATATAGGTCCTCAAGGAATGTCATTTATCAAAAACACAAGACATCTACCAAGCATTAGATCACGTACTAAGGATATAAAGACAAGATATTCTCCTTTCCTCTAAGTAGAATAAATAAGCAAATGATTAACAATAGAGAAGAAAGGATTGAGGTAACAGATAAGACTGTGCTGGTGGCTCACACCTGTAATCCTATCTACTCAGAAGGCTGAGATCTGAGAGTCCCAGCCCCATGGTTGAGACTCTTATCTCCAATAAACCACCAGGAAACCAAAAGTGGGGCTGTGGCTCAAGTGGTAGAGCCCTAGCTTTGAGCAGAAGAGCTGAGAGACAGCACCCAGGCCCAGAGCTCAGGCCCCATGACTGGCAAAAAAGAAAGAAAAAAGAAAGAAAATCATAAGCTGCTTCAAGTGAGTTCAGAAAAACAACTACAGATAATAATTATATATGAATAAAGGTCTGAATCATGTATGAAGTATTAAAATACAGGTCTGAATATTAAATAGCCATATATTCATAATATTCTTTTCATTTGGGGAGGATAATAAATATTAAGTCATTATGCACCTGTCCCAATGCTCAAGACCATGAAGCACTAATCCAAGTGTTCCTTTTTTGCTATATACCTTCAGTATTCTGAAAACAGTGTGCAAGCCAGGGACAGTGGTACAGGCACTCAAGAGGCTGAAGCAGGATAATACTGAGTTCAAGGCCAGTCTGGGCTTGAAGTTGGCCTAGACTATCATAGCAAGACCCTGTCCAAAAACAAAATAACCAATGCTCTAAAACAACCAATATCCCTGACTAAAAGTAGTATTAGAATTGAAACCTGTGTACCAAGGCAAAACATTCTCTGCATAACACAATGTACATGACAAATATATAATATGGGATTTAAGATGGGAAAACAGTGAAGAAATGCTGAAATATAAGGTTCATTGATTACTTAGTAAAAGTTTTAACGTATTTGCATTAAGTGGCATGTGCAATGATTATAGGAGTATTTCATCAGAGACATGAGAAGTAACAAGGGGTGCATGAGAGTACCTATTAACCAGAACTTGGTCATGAATCTTGTTGAGTCTGCAGAACTGTCTTGTATCTCTAGAAAATATATTTTTTCTACACATATCCCTTGTAAGTTTTTTAACTTTTTTTTTTGGTTGGTCGTGGGGCTTTAACTGTGGGCCTGGGCGCTGTCCTTCAGCTCTTCAGCTCAAGGCTAGCGTTCTACCACTTGAACTTCAACACCACTTCTGGTTTTTTTTTTTTTTTTTTTCCCTGCTGGTTTATTGGAGATAAGTCTCATGGACTTTCCTTTGGGGCTGGCTTTAAACTGGAATCCTCAGATCTCAGCTTCCTTAGTAGCGAGGATTTCAGGCGTGAGCCACCAGCACCCGGCTATTTCTTTTAGAAGATTTGTAAAAGAGTATTTATTTTACACACACGGAACATAGGACAACAGTTACCAACCATAATACACTGGCAGAAGATCGAGTAGATGAGACAAGAACTACAATAAAGTATATTATCATCATGTAGTCTAAAATTCTTTCTGAGGACTGAAATAGCAATTAGAAATAATCTTTATACTGCTCCTTTTTATGTAGACTATAATCAAAATAAAACAAACTTAAAATTTCAACTTTTTAAAGATTGATTAACATATTTTACTTGTACAGAGGGGTTTGTTTTGACCTTTCCATACATTCATTGTGCCCCAAGCAAGTCCCTTCCCAGGATTTCTCCCTCATTTCTCTACCTTCTTCCTAAAACAATTTCAACAGGTTTAACTGATTATTTTTATATACATATGTTAACTACTAGGACCAAAGTGTTTACTTTTCATCTCTAACCTTGATTGTCCCTGAGAATAAGTGTACTATACCAAGTACAACAATTCTCTCACAGGGCATGGTAGCTCACAAACTTGTAATCTCAGCACTCGGTAGTTTTGAGGCAGAAGGAAGGTGAGTTTGTGGACAGTTCTGTTTACATAGCTAGTTTTAGGCCAGTCTGGGCCACCTAGTAAGATCCTGTCTTTCACACACACACACACACACACGTATATAAGTATGCATGTATATGAGTGTATATGTGTGTATATATACACATGTGTATATACATGTACATGTATACATATAATTTTCCTATTATTTAATTAATTAGTATCAAATTTACAAGTATAGGCCAAGCACTGGTGGTTCATGCCTATATTCATAGCTACTCAAGGGGTTGAGATATGAGACCTGCAGTTCAAAGCCAGCCCGCTCAATAAAGTCCACAAGACTTATTGCCAATTAACCCCAGAAAACCAGAAATGGAGCTGTGGCTCAAAGTAGTAGAGCACTAGTCTTGAGCAAAAGAGTTCAGGGACAGTGCCCATGCCCTGAGTTCAGCCCCATGGCGGAAAAAAAAAAATTACAAGTATAGACTATTTTCTCTGACTCCCATTCA